GAAAGAAAGAAAAAGAAAGAAAGAAAGAAAGAAAGAAAGAAAGAAAGAAAGAAAGAAAAAGAAAGAAAGAAAGAAAGAAAAAAGAAAAAGAAAGAAAGAAAGAAAGAAAGAAAAAGAAAGAAAGAAAGAAAGAAAAAGGAAAAAGAAAACAGATAAGACGAAGAGGAAAAATTTGAAGGAGAAATATACTTAAAATTCAAAATACTCTTGACAAAATGGTTTTCAGAAACTAGACAAAGGAGCAGACATTGCACCCTACCATGAGTTTTGAGCTTGTCAGTCATTTTGTTGATCTTCCTTTCCAGCCGGGCGTATCTGGCAAACTCATCCATCATACTGATGGTTGCAAGTTCTTGCTTCATGGTCTGAATTTCAGCTCGCATTTGGGACTCCTGCTCTGCATCCTTTTGCAACAACCTAGATATCTAAGAAGTAAAGAAATAGTATCAGTTATTGATCCAGAATTCCATTTATTGCCTTTAACGTGTATGAAGTATGATCTCAAAAGCCTCCCATAAAAAAGGCCATCTCTCCCTTTCTTTTACTTTTCCTAATTTCTTTTAATGAGGTACCACCTGCTTGTTGATTCATGAACTCTTTTTACCATTGAAATGAAGATAAAAAGGATACAAAATGTTTCACTTACTGTTTCTTAGGGAATCTTCCCAGCTTTCCCAAGTCAAGTGTAATTTGTTCCCCACAGATGCCATTCCCAGGACTGCAGCCAGTGAGGACATTACAGACACTTTCAGTCACAAACCACAGCAGAAAGCTGAGCAGAGGTTTTCACAGACTCATGGAATTATCCTGAGTTGGGAAGGACCCTCAAGGATCATCCAGCCCAACCCCTGGCCCTGCCCAGGACACCCCAACACTCCCCCCTGTCCCTCAGAGCGTTGTCCAAACCCTCCTGGAGCTCTGGCAGCCTTGGGGCCGTGCCCACTGCCCTGGGGAGCCTGGTCAGTGCCCAGCACCCTCTGGGGGAAGAACCTTGTCCTGAGATCCACCCTGAGCCTGCCCTGTCCCAGCTCCAGCCCTTGCCTGGGTCCTGTCCCTGCTCACACCGAGCAGGGATCGGAGCTGCCCCTCCAGTGCCCCTTGGGAGGAGCTGCAGAGCCCAATGAGCTCTGCCCTCAGTCTCCTCTGCTCCAGCTGAACAAACCAAATGACCTCAACCACTCCTCCTGTGGCTGTTTCATCAGTCATCTCCAGGAACACCGAGTTCACCTTCCCAAACTGCTGGGAGTAATCCAAGTTTTAAAGGATTTTTGTCCTGATGTGAGTGTACACCGATCTCTGTGACAGTGAAGTTACTGATGTGGACAAACAGAAGGACGAGGATTTCAGTGTGTGTGTTTACATGTGAGTTTATCTGGCAGTCATGGAGTTTATTTGCTCTTAATTCCATTATCCACAGGAATGCTTTGGTATCCTGGTTAGTGACTGCTGCTTCAACTCCTTAATCTCCATATCCACTGATCTCCCTCCTCAACAATGGGAATGTCCATCTCTTGAAAACACGGAAGGCTGAACAAAGCTGCCTTTTATATTCCCTGAAAACCGAGAGAAATTGCAGCTGCCCCATCCCTGGAAGTGTCCAAGGCCAGGTTGGATGGGGCTTGGAGCAACCTGGGATAGTGGAAGGGGGGGTTGGAACTGATGATCTTTAAGGTCCCACCTAAACCAAACCAGTCTGTGATTCCACCAGGGCTGGAGGCTCAGGAGCATCATTTAGGACACCGGTAACTCATCACTTCACTTCAAAGCCCGGCCTAACAAAGCTGCGGGAACCACCCGGCCACAGTGCTATGCTCCAGCACTTCCAGCGCCGGCTTTTCCTCTCCCCAGGGCTCGGAGCAGGACCAGATCCTGCCCGACAGAACCGGGGGTGCTTTAGGGGTACCGAGAGCCTCCCCGAATGGGCACCGCTCCCACCCCATTCCCCCCATAGCTGGGGGGACCCCCATAACGCCCTGCCCAGCGGCCTCGGCCCCCCCAGCCGGCCCAGGGCCCGGTGCCCCCCACCCCCGGCGGGACATCACTCACGACGGAGGAGCAGGAGGGCAGGAGGATCTTGAGCGCGTTGCAGAGGAACACGGCGCTGAGCACCAGCAGCCACGCACCGCCCTCCGCCATGGCCGGGCCCCGCCGACAGCGGCACTGACGGCGCTCCGGGACCGCGATCGCGACCGGGATGGGGGTGGGTTAAGATCGGCACCGGGAGCGGGATCGGGACAGGGGTCGGGCGGAGCGGCGGCAGCGAGGGGACTCGGGGCCATGCGCGGCCCCGTGACCGGCGGCACCCAATGGGTTCCCCGTGCGCGCTCCCGGGCAGGGGCGGAGCGCTGCCCCGGCCCGCCCATCCCATCCCATCCCGCCGCTCCCCCCGCTCCAATCCGGCTGGATCCTGTTGCGGCGCCGCTGGCGCTGCTGGGATGGGGAGGGGAGGGGGGAGGCGGTTTCCCAGCGCAGCCGGGCTGTGGCTCGCAGGCAGCCGCCGCAGCGCTCGCAGCAGCCGCCGGGCGGGAGCAGCCGCAGCTCCGGGAGCCTCGAGATGCCGAAGAGGAAGGTGAGGGCGAGCGGGGAGCGGCAGCCGGGGGGCGGCAGCGCGGGGCCGGGCGGGAGGGACGGGGCCGCTCCGCGGGCTCCGGTGCCGCGGGCGGTGACGATGCCCGGCGCCTTCCCCGCCTTCCCCGCGGTGCGGGGCGGCCCCGCGGGCCGCGGAGGGGGCCGGAGGGGCCGGGAAGGGCCCGGGGGGGCTCGGCGGGACGCGCGGTCCGGGAGCGGAGCGGGAAGGGGCGGGCGGGGGGCGGCGAGCGGGAGGTGCCGCCCGCGGTCCCGCCCCGCTGACGCGCCGTCTGTGTTGCAGGTGACGGTGGCGGACGGGGACGCCCCGGCGGAGGTGAGTGACACCGGGCACGCTGTGACACCGGGCACCCTGTGACACCGGGCACGCTGTGACACGCGTGGGACAGGCGGGGCCGGACCCGTCCCGCCCGCTCACGCCCCTTCTCTCTCTGTCTCTCTCATTCTCTCTCTCTCTCTCTCCCCCCGCAGCCCAAGCGGCGATCGGCCCGTCTGTCCGCGGTGAGTGCGGGAGCGGCGCGGCCCCTGCGGGGCGGGGGGGGGTGGGAGCACCCGGGAGGGGTCACCCCGGGGCGGGATCCCTGCCTGACTTGTTCTCTCTCCTCAGAAACCCGCGCCGGCCAAAGCAGAGCCGAAGCCAAAAAAGTTGCCGGCCAAGGTGAGTGGGAAGAGGGGAGGGGGAGGAGGTGGTGACTGGCGGCATCTCGTGTCGTGTCCTCGTGTTTTATTCCTTGTGGGAACGCTCGGTTTGGCTAAAGTACCGTTTTAAGGTGCTTCTGCCAGTGTCTACAGGTACGTTCCACCCCTCTTTGAGTAGATCCTTGTTAAGCTCCCAGGTGTTGCATGCAAATGTGGGCACTGATCGAGGTAGTTTGATATGGGGTGGAACTACTTGAATGTCAAAGCAATTGGACATTAGGAGGAATTTCTTTATGGAAGGGGTTTTTAGGCATTGGAAGGGGCTGCCCAGGGAGGTGGTGGAGTCCCCATCCCTGGAGGTGCCCAAGGGACAACTGGATCTGGCACTCACTGCTCTGGGCTGGGTGACAAGGCACAGGTTGGACCCGATGATCTTGGAGGTCTTTTCCAATCTAAATGGTCCTGTGATTCTGTACAGAGGATTATATTTCACCACTGTAACAAAAGGGAATAAAATATATATACTCACATTTTAAAGCTGTGCTGTTAGAACAGGAAAAAAAAACCAGTTTCTTAGTCACTGAAAAATACCTCAGTTTCCATTTGTGAACTTGAGCTTTATGTGTGTGCAACAAGGTGTGGTTTAGTGTGGTCTTTAAATTTTTTTGTGGTTTTTAAATTTTTCAGCACAGCCAATAACTGAGGTGTAAAATTCTTTGTTTCTTGGCTGTGTGTCTGTGGGCTCGGTGCTGTTTGTGTTGTTAAGTGTTCTTTTGTCATCAAGAGCTTTTCTTTGTGATGTGTAGATTAAGGGCTTTGGGGTGACCTCATTGTGGCCTTCCAGGACCTGAGCAGAGCCTAAAGGAAAGGTGGAGAAAGGACCTGGAGTGACAGGACAAGGGGGAATGGCTTCACACTGACAGAGAGCAGGGTTAGATGGGATATTGGGAAGAAATTCTTGGCTGTGAGAGTGGTGAGGCCCTGGCCCAGGTTGCCCAGAGAAGCTGTGGCTGCCCCTGGATCCCTGGAAGTGTCCAAGGCCAGGTTGGACGGGGCTTGGAGCAACCTGGGCTAGTGGAAGGTGTCCCTGCCCATGGCAGGGGGTGGGACTGGATGACCTTTAAGGTCCCTTCCAACCCAAACCATCCTGTTTTTCTCTAATTTCAGATACACTAACACAGAGCTCTGCTTTGCAGACTTTCTGATGTTTTCATTGTGTTAATCCTACAGAACAGTTCCTTCCCAGGAATGCACCTTCATTCCAATGGTTTGAGTATCACTGTGCTCCCACTTTTAAGGCTGCAAGCCTAAAGAATTTGGAGAAGTTTTCCAATGTTACTTCAGTTGTAAATTCTCCTTTTTCCAGTGTCTGTGATGCACAGGGAAGAATTTCTATAATTAATTCTAGTTGTTAATTACCAGTCAAATGATAAGATTTTTAATTTATTCTGTTTTCTGTATTTGATCCATTAAAATGCACTTTTTCTGCATCAACTTTGTCACTTCTTAAAACTTTCCTGACAGTATTTTTTCTGGTTGGGAGAAGTTTGCTCATTATGGACTTACTTGGTGAGGTTTTTAAATAAATACTGATGAAGAATAAGAGATTTTGACAATAAAACCCAAGAGGTCTGTGTGTTGCATTTATGTGATTCTGAAATATTTTGTAAGTAGGGGGATCAGGGGCTGTTGGTAGCTTAGCAAGTCCATCTGGGTTTTCTGTGCTTTTTATTATTTTCAAAGTTTACCTGGTAAACCACAGGAATTTACTCACTGGAAATGTATTTCACTGCAGGATAAATCTGAGGACAAGAAGGCTCAGAAGGGGAAAAAGGGGGCTAAAGGAAAACAGACAGAAGAGACGAACCAAGAACAGACAAAGGACAACCTGCCTGCAGAAAACGGGGAAGCTAAAACTGAGGAGGTAAAGTTTGGAGGGCTGGGCTTGGGGCTGACTGGGAGAGAAGTTCCTCCTTGCTACAAAAGTTTTTTGACAAATGTAATGTTCTTTTTCTGGGGGAGTGGAAAGAGTTTTCAGTGGAAATGATTTGACCAAAGCTCAGGTAACACTTACAGACCTTCGAGCAGAAGGTTTTTAGGTAGCAAGGAAAGCAGAGGATGGTCCTTGAGGGATTTGTTCTGGTGTAACAGTGGGTCATTGGCAAGCTTAGACTGTGATCTTTGTGAAAAGTGTGGATCTAACTAGGAATTCTTCAGTTGGCTCAACTTTTTGGCATCGTTACAATCACATAATTTGGTTTTTTTTTTTAACCTGTGCATCTTCATGCTGGACTCGTGGTGCTCAGACCAGCCAAAATTTCAGGTGTAATACAATAGCAAGGTCTAGAAGAGGCAGAGTTAGAGTCTGTCCTGTTGGATGTTACTGTCTCGTGTTTCTAAGTCTTAGTTACTGTAAAACAGGGTAAGATTTGAGGCTATTTTAACAGTGCTGCACTGAAAATTGAATGCACGAGGTGTGTCTCTAATTTTCTCAACACCCCATATGGGGGGATTTTTAGCCGAGTAAAAGCTAAAGCTCCTCCTGTTGTAAAGGCAATAATTCAAGTTAAAATTAAAATACTCTGCAGTGTGTGTTTAGGAACAATATCAACATCCTGAAATTCATACTGATGGATCCAAGGAGCCTTTATTCTAGACAGCTCAATTCAGTAGGTCCCGATCCGAGAGGAATAAGCTCGTGGCACCAATTTGTGAAGCACCATCTGCAGAAACAAGTCAGGGTTGTTCTCTGTGTCATTTTGGGCATTAAAACCACTCCAAACTGAGAGTCTGAGCCACTTAAAAACTTCCTGCGTTGAAGTGTCCTGGTTTTTTTTTGTCTCCTTTCAGACCCCAGCACCTGATGCAGCTGCAGAGAAAGAAGTGAAGTCTGAGTAACACCCACATCTGTAACTGGTGGTCTTTAAACCTTTCTTCTTGTACAATTCAGAGGAATATTTTTATCGACTATTTTGTAAATGCAAGTTTTTTAGTAGTTCTAGAAAACACGTTTTTAAAAAAAAAAAAAAAAAAAAAGGAGAGAGTCCCGACTCAACCCATTTTTTTACATATTTAGATAAGTGTAAATGCTTTTTTTAAGTGGTAAAGTCACGTACTGGTTGTCTGTTTTCTATGAAACCAGAAATTAACAGCGTGTTAATTAAGGAGGGGGCTCTGAAGCCTTGATTAGGCTTCACGTTCCACAGCCTGTGAGGGACAGTTTTCTATCCTATTAAATGAAGCATAACACAGATGAGACTTTGGAATTCCTAATGATGCGTTGAGAATGTCTTAACATTTTAGTTATTTATCTTTATGGTTGTACCATCAGTAGAATTCCTTATCTAATAAAACTGCTCCCTAGTGTTGGATTTCTTGCTGAGTGATGTATATCTGTGACAAAAGTTATTTTTGGTAGTTGCAGCTTTATTTTTTTTTTTCCAACAACTTTGTAGCTGTGATGAGAAAGATGGGAAGCTTTTTATTTTATATCTTTAAATACTGGCTGAGGAAAAGTTTCTGCTTGGCAGATGGAACTTGTTATGTCAATGTTTGAGATACTGGAACTTCACCTCTAGTTTTAAAGGACAGCTTGTCTACAAGGATCAAGTGAAAAAAATATTTGAAATAGTCCTAGGAAAAAAAAAATTAGTTTTTAGACTTAAAAAAAACTATGTGAATAAAAACAATTGTAAAATTGTTGATAGTGTTTGTGATCTTCAAACAAAAGCCAAATAAATCTTGATTATGAAAGTTTCTGTAGCTCCTGCGTTGACTGGGACAACTCACAGTATAAGTGGTGTGGTTTGGATTTTTAACTGTGTTTTAATAGTGTTAAAAATGTAATTTTTAAGAGGTGGGAGTGGAAAAATGCAGCGTTAATCTGAATTTGCAGTTTGAAAGCTGAGAGCCTTGTGCTGCTGCTGTTACCTTAAAAAAAAAAAGAGTCAATAATTAGTAGGCATCAGGTGCCAGTCAGACAACTGTCACCTTGTCCTGGGAGGAGCCAAGATCAAACAGGAACGTTTCTTCTTTGTTTCTTTTTTTTCCTCTTGCCCCAGAATTTGTTTGTGCTCTTAGGTAACACCTGCAAGCACAGCATCTGCTTCCTGTACGTTTTCAGTGCCTTTGTCAAATTCTCATACAGTTATTTCTAAAAAAAACCAAACAGTTGAGTTTCACTTCTAACTCATTTTCTTAATCAAGGGTTTCCTTTCAAAAAGAATTTCACCAGTTTTACCTCTTCAATATTTAGGCAATGTTTAACTTACCTATAGCTTTTATATATATATATAAAAGCTGGAATACATCCATGATGGAGCACCATCCCATTCAAAATACAACAGGAAGAGAACAAAATGTGTTTCTTGGATGTTACTCCCTTGTATTTGTGTGCTGCTACTGGTTGGTTGGGTTAAGAGAATGATATGTAAAAATACTTTACTTCAAAGGTTCTAAAAATGCATTTCAAGGGACCACAGGTGGGGAATGGAATAAGGAAAGAAGAGGTTGGATTTAAAATATAACACAAGTACAGCCATTGCTGTTCACATCAGAATTCATGATGGGCAGGAGAGAGAAACAACTGTGAGAAGGAAAAAAGATAAATCATGGAATGGTTTGAGTTGGAAGGGACCTTAAAGATCATCCAGTTTCCCCCCCTCCATGGGCAGGGACACCTTCCACTATTCCAGGTTGTTCCAAGCCCCATCCAACCTGGCCTTGGACACTTCCAGGGATCCAGGGGCAGCCACAGCTTCTCTGGGCAACCTGTGCCAGGGCCTCACCACCCTCACAGGGAACAATTTCTTCCCCATATCCCATCTAACCCTGCCCTCTGTCAGCTTGAAGCTGTTCCCCTTTTCCTGTCACTCCAGGCCCTTGGAAACAGTCTCTCTCCATCTTTTTTGTCAGCTCCCTTCAGGTCCTGGAAGGCCACAATCAGGTCACCCCAAAGCCTTCCCTTCTCCAGGCTGAACAATCCCAGCTCTCCCAGCCTTTCCTCCCAGCAGAGCTGCTCCTTCTCTCAGATGATCTTGGTGCCTCCTCTGGTCTCTCTCCAACAGCTCCATGTCCTGGCTCCCAAATTCAGGGTGGGAGGGAGGTGGCACTGGGACAAACCTGCTGGTTTTGGACGGGTGATGTCAGTGCAGTGCTGCTGCCTCGAGTGGGGTGGGAAATGCTCCTCCCCAAGACAGTGTTTGGGGCAGCTGTGGTGCCCCCAGGCATCACCCACGGAGCTGTTGGCACTGGAGGAGACAGGGCTGTTCCCAAGCTCCTCCAGTGTGGGCACAGCACCGATGCTTCCAGCTCTCTGCCACCATGGGGCACACTGAGCACGGTGCAGGGCAGTGCACTCTGAATCACAGAATCAATTCGTTTGAAAGAGACCTCTGAGATCATCAAGTCCAATCTGTGACCAATCCCTACACTGTAAACTAAACCCTGGCACTGATTGCCACATCCAGTCGTTTCTTGAACAGCTCCAAGGATGGGGACTCCACCACCTCCTTGGACAGCCCTTTTCAATGTCTAACCACTCCTTCAGTGAAAAAATTCTTCCTTATCTCCAACCTGACCCTCCCCTGGCACAGCCTGAGGCCGTTTCCTCTCCTCCTGTCCCTCGTTCCCTGGGAGCAGAGCCGGATACTCTCCTGGCTCCCCCCTCCTGTCAGGGGGTTGCAGAGCCAGAAGGTCCCCCCTGAGCCTCCTTTTCTCCAGGCTGAGCCCCCCCAGCTCCCTCAGCCGCTCCTGCTGCTCCAGCCCCTTCCCCAGCTCCGTTCCGTTCTCTAGACACGCTCCAGCCCCTCAATGCCCTTCTCGCACTGAGGGGCCCAGAACTGGACACAGCACCGGAGGCGAAGGCCTTGGCCGCGCGGCATACGGTGCCCGCTCCGTCACCGCATCGCGGCGGGCCATGGGATCTCGGCGCCTCGCCGCGGGTCCCCGGGACGGGCCGTCCCGGGCCGGGAGGGCCGAGGCGGCGGCAGCAGCCCCATCGTTCCCGGGGGCGATTCAGCGGCAGCCCCACGGCCGCCGCCGCTCCCCCGCCATGCCCTCAGCGCCGGCGCCTCACGGCGCGCTCGCCCCGCCCACCGAGCCGCCTCACCCGCCGCTTCTCCGCGCGACCCTTCCGCGCCCGGTCCCCCCTTCCCCTCCTCGCTCTCCTTCCCCGCCATCCCGTCCCCGCCGCTCTCCCCGCCGCCTTCCCCTCACCCTCCCCCGCCGCCACACACGCGCTCCGCTGTTTCCCCGCAGCCGCCGGAGCGCGTCCGAGCGCGGGGACTATTTTCCCCCCGCCCCCCCGCGGGCGCGCCCGGCGGAGGTGTCGGCGGCGGCGCCGTGGCGGGTGGTGCGGCGGCGATGGCGGCGGCGCCGAGGCTGCGCTGAGGGGGGAGAGGGAGGGAGCGCTGAGGGGAGCGGGGGGGCGGCCGTGAGGGGAGGGAGGGAGGGAGGGAGGCAGGGAGGGGAGGCGCTGACAGCGCCGTGCCGAGCCGGGCCCGCCGCCCTCAGCCCGCCATGGCCGAGCCTGCGGCCTCTTCCAGCGCTGGCGCGCCGCTGCCGCTCATTGAATCAGGTAACAGCGCGGGCCGGGGCGAGGAGGTGCCGCCGGTGCCGCCATCTTCCTGCCCCCCCCCCCCCCCCTCCACCCTCCCCTCAGGATGGGGCACGGCCGCCCCCCGGCTCAGTCCATCCCACGGGTCTCTCTCTGTGTTTCTCGTAGAGCTTTACTTCCTCATCGCCCGGTTCCTGAGCACCGGGCCCTGCCGGAGAGCGCTAAAGGTGAGTGAGCGCGGCGCTCACCGGGGCGCGGGGACCCCGCGCTGCCCGCCCGGGGTCGGGGGGAGGTGGGAGCAGCCGCGCCTCCCCCCCCCCAGCTCTGGAGAAGTCAAATCGTGGCTCGTCCCTCACTCTGTGTTTTTTTTCCCCCTTTTCCTCTGCAGGTGCTGGTGCAGGAGCTGGAGCAGCACCAGGTCTGTGTGGGCTCTGATGAAATCCCGCTGTAGTTAAAAGTTTCCCTTGCAAGTCATTCAAGTTTCTGCCGCTGTCTCAACTTTTCCCCCGCCTTCAACACACACATTGTTTTGGATGTGATCTGTAATCCCTCCTTCCCCTTCAACCGCTCACGGTTTTTGTTTTTCCTTTATTTAGTTGCTTCCTAAAAGGTTGGATTGGCAAGGAAATGAGCATTATAGAAGTTACGAAGAATTGGTGAGACTTTTACCTTTCAAAAAAAACCCTTCTGATTACCATGTTAACACTGATGTTACACCCTCTACCTTTAAAACTAGGCCCAAACCTTCACCTTCCAGCATCGCTCTGGCTCTGGACGGTGGAGTTATTTTAGAGAAGGGCCTTTAATTTCTTTGCATCAGACTAACAAAAACACCAGCGGTGGTTTAAATTGAGGATATTGTTTACATAGCAGAGGTGGAGCTTGGCGTTGTGCAGTGGGTAGATGCCGCTGCCTACACGCAGGCAGGAGCCAATGTGCACCGCGGTTTCATTTCGGAGTTTCAGGGGCAAGGTTGTGAGGCACGTTTTGATTTGTCGGTATTTATTTTTGCTGGTTGGCTTCTTTCAGCCCCCTCCAACAGATTAGGAAATGAAATCGCTGCTCAGAAACCCGAGGGTTGGCAGTTCTGGTGCCTGTGAATGTGCTCCTTATCTCTGGCTCCTCGCTGGTCACTGCTTTGTTTCCACGTGCTGGAAGGATGGGGATGATCTCTAAAAAAATGTACTTTCTGCCCTCCAGGGCTGATGTTGCTTGCTCTAAATGTTTTTACAGAAGGGAGAGCTGTGTTTTGGTGCTTAATTTTGCTGCTTTTTAGGTGGCAGAGTGTATTTGGCAGTTGAATCTCGTGAAGTGATGGTCTGGGGGTGCCTGCCCAGCATGATTTTTGTCCTGCCTTATACTAGTTGGTTTTGTTTTCTTTAAAGGGGTTTTTATTCCTGCTTTTTCCCCTCCTCAGATTCAGACTTTCCAGGTTAACTGATTATTGTAGTTAAATCCCTGTTGTGGAGCACTTAAAGATCTCAGGGTCCTATTTGAGTAGGAATGAAATCTCGTTTAAAGCATTTTCCTAATTATTTAAGTGTTGCTCAAAACAATAAATTTGATTCCATTTCCTCTCCTTGTCAGTGTGGTCAGTCGAGCAAATGAGGTTTTAGATGAGTTTTTTAAGTCACTAAGAAGCCTGATCTTGCTAAACAGGAATATCTTCAAGCTCTGACTTGAACTTAGCAAAGATGAAAGCAGGATTGAGTTTAAAAAGGGTTGTTGGGAGTTATTTTGTTGGTTCACTGTTGGTTTTTTACCCATTTCTTCTGGCAAAAAGTGAGGTGTTGGGAGATGAATTGTGTGGATTCTTCTGACTTCAGGAGTGGGTTTTAACTGAGATTATTGTGCATTTACAGTTGTCAGATCAGTTCTTTATCCTGTGCTGCTTCTGCCTCTTTTTCCTGCACGTTTTAAAAGAAACTACACAGGGCAGTAGTATCTCAGAATATCTAAATTAATCTCTTAAACTTTTAATTTCAGCTTTTTGAGGGGTTTTGGGAGCCTCTTGTCCCACTGTTCTCACTCTGAACTTGCAGAGACCACGGACAAATGCAGTCATGGGGTGTAATTACTTCTGGTCCTCTGTGTTCCTCGTGGCATTTTAAAGCTTTAAAATAACTGTTCCTTCCAAAATTTGAGCGAAACTACTTTAAAAAGGAGAAGGACTGCAAGTTTTTGCATGCAGGGATTGCATTTAGAATATACACTTCCTGCTGATGGCATGGAAACAAAAAGGGTTTTAATGCTTGGCAGAAAGTGTGCTGAGCTTTCTGTCCTGAGTGCTGTGGCTGGTACTGCTCTGTACCAATTCAAGAGGCAAAATTGGTAAGGAAACGATGAAAAAGTGCATTTTTTAATCTTTGGACCTCCAAAGGTGTTTCTTATAATTGATCTTGGGCATCCCAGGAGCTGATTTTCTTGGAAATATTTGCTCGTGGGACGACGCAAACTATTTTTCCTGGTGTTCCCACCTCGGGAACACAACCTGCACCCCCACAAGCTTCAAGCATGGATTTTTATTATTAAAACAAGTGCAGAGCTGTGGCTTTAACTGTGCATTCCCAGTGCTCAGTGTGCATTTGGGCAGCTTTTTGTTGCCCGGGTCTCACCTGATGCATTTTTATTGCCACCCCTCCGGGGCGGGAGGTCGGGGCCTTGGCAGGACTTGGCTCATCCCGGCTCAGTCATTCAGCCGAGGGAGCAGCAGCAGCAGCAGCACGAGCTCGTTCTGCCTGTGTTCTCAGCTGCCTGGGCAGGAGGCCACATACCTGTGTTGGTGTGGCCCTGTGCCTCTCCTGGCTGGATGGGCTGGGAATTGTGTGGCTGCTGGAGGAGCAGAGTGGCTGCTGCCTCTGACTGGTTTCTCCGTGGCGGGATCAGAGTGGAGGCAGCACGGGGCTGATTCACACCTCCCCAACAGCTCCACTTCATGATTCTGACGTGCTTTGGTTTACCTGAGGCTGTTCAAACCCTCCCTTGCATCTTTACCTTCTGCATTATTGTGATTGACTTTAAAAGAATTAGGATTTTTTTTCATAGAACACCCAGAAAGAAGAGGGCGAAAAAAATAAATAAACCCCCCCCACATCTGTTGTTGACTGAGCCATCTGAGTGTGTGTGGGGTGTGTGGGTTTTTTAGGTTGTTTGATGCAGATGGTGTGGGATCATTCCTGAATGTTGGGATGGCTGTTGGGATCCTTTTGGTTTAAGGAAGTAGGGCAGACTTGTGTGGTACTGGTTTTTCAAGGAAGCTATTTCCAGGGAGATTGTGCTCAAACCTACTGGTTTGCAGTTCACTGAGCAAGTGCTGTGTGGCTGAAGGAGGAGCTGCACAAACTCTTGTGCTTGGTTGCAACCAAATTCTCCATGACCTTGAGTTACGAGGGTTTGAATTTTAATTCTTATTTTTAAGGCAAATAGTTGGGTGAGATGGGCAAAGACACTCACTTGTGGGGTGCCACAGAGGTGGTTATTTGCAGCCTTCAGTAGTAAAATACTGATGTGCAGTGAGTTACTTTTTTGCTGCAGTTATTTTTTTACTACAGCTCTCCCTTGCTTGTAGAGTCCTCACTGAATTTACTGGATCAGGGCTTAACAGGATTGATTTTGGTCTGTGAGTTGAACTTAAAGTTTTAATTTATTTAATACACCCGTGAATGTTGATGCTTTTAGATTCATCCGTTCTACAGATTTCTTTTTAAAACTTAAATTCCTGGCAGGTGCTGTCCAACAAACATGTGGCTCCAGATCATTTATTACAAATTTGCAAGAGGATTGGCCCTATCCTGGATAAGGAGATCCCACCCAGCATTTCCAGAGTCAATTCCTTGCTTGGTGCAGGGAGACAGTCATTGCTAAGGACAGCAAAAGGTGAGGTTTGGGGGTTTTTTTTTGGGATGGGTATGATCCAGTGTTAGATGTGCATAGTTAAGAGTTTGGGAATGCTTGGGAGTTCTGTCCATGCACTGAAGAAAATCATCTGTAATTTAGGGAGTGGTTGGCAATAGGTGACCTTGTACTTTGATACAGAGTAGATTTTAGTGGTGGATTTACCTCTTTGGGTGTGTCCCAGGCAGGGGTGTTGATATGTCTGTGTGAGTTCTGTTGGGCAGCTGGATTCTGGGATGTGGGACTGATTTATGGGATTTACTGGTGTGTTTTCAGTGACCTGCCCTGCCTGCTTTAAAGATTGCACAGGGAATGATGGGGACTCTTCTATCCTGGAAATTGGGATTGCAGTTATGTCAGCAGCAGTGTCAGAATAACTGTCAGTTTGAGATTTTTTATTTTTTTTTCTAAGAAGGGAGATCTTGGAATTATAGGATGGTTTGGGTTGGAAGAGAGCACAAAGCTCATCTCATTCCAACTCCTCTGCCATGGGCAGGGGCACTTTCCACTGGCCCAGGTTGCTCCAAGCTCTCTCCAGCCTGGCCTTGGACACTTCCAGGGATCCAGGGGCAGCCACAGTTTCTCTGGGCAACCTGGGCCAGGGCCTCCCCACCCTCACAGGGAAGAATTCCTGATATCCCATCTAACCCTGCCCTCCTTCACCTTGAGACAATTCCCCCTTGTCCTGTCACTCCAGGCCCTTGGAAAAGCCCCTCTCCAGCTTTCTTGCAAGACCCTTTTAGGTACTTAAAGAATCTTGAGATCATCTTGTCAAGTAATTTCATCCTGATAAATATTAAATAAATCTTAATTAAATTTCTGAATAAATATTCATGAGAACGTGAAAAATCTTCACAGCTTGGTACTGAGAACAAGCAGCAAAAATTCAATTAAAAAGTTAGTTTTGCATTGGTACCATCATTTGGGAGTAATTTCAAAGTTTGGTGGTTGGTTATGTCAGTGTTCCCTCTTTCTGTTATTAAATGGATGTTCATTAAATGGATTATTATTGAATGGGTGTTCATTAAGTGGATCTTTATTAAATGGATTATTATTAAATGGATGTTCATTAAATGGATTTTTTTCTCTCCTCTGGTGCTGCACTGTTTGTGAAAGGTTTGGGGGCATTCCTGGTTTTTTTAGTGGGTTCAGTCCTGTGTTTGAGGCCACCTTTAGATGGGCTCTTTGGAATTGCATCTCTCTTGGCATTTTTGGCATTGTGTTCATGATGAACTTCATCCAGGTGGTTTTGCAGATTGCAGGAACACTGTTTGGAAGGGCTCTGCATTTGCTGCTCTCCATCGAGGAAGACCCCCTGAAATGCCTGTGAACTATGGCAGCCCCCCAAACCTGGGTAAGCTCTGCTCAGCTCTCACCCCTGCTGCTGGAGCACACTTAAAATACTGATTTGACACCAAAAAAATGCAAGTGCAAAGAAACCTGACTGGTTGAAATCTTAAAATCGCTTCTAGTTAAGTCTTTAAGTAATATATTAATGGAAGGTGAATAAAAGTGTGGTTTAGAATAAACCTGTTTTAAACATGATTTCTTTGTGTTCCAGTGGAAGTGCATCGAGCAAAGCAGTTGACTGGATATGCCAAGTTCAGCACCTCGTTCCCAGGAAGTATGTACCAGCATGTCAGGATGCACAGAAGGATCCTTGGCCACCTTTCCTCTGTGTATTGTGTTGCATTTGATAGGACTGGACACAGAATATTTACAGTGAGTTGATGAAACACATCCCAGTGTGAAGAGTTTGAGATGGCTGCTGGGAGCTGGGTGTCAGTGGTGCTAAAATGCAGCTGATGAGCTCCCTCTCAGAGGAGCAATCTGCTGTAATTAAAGGCCAGCAACGTGCAAGAAGTTGTTGTCTTTACTAAACATTTCCTTCCAGGGTTCTGATGACTGCCTGGTGAAGATTTGGTCGACTCACAATGGCAGGTTGTTTGCCACATTAAGAGGCCACTCAGCAGAGATCTCTGACATGGCAGTGAACTATGAGAACACCATGATTGCAGCCGGCAGCTGTGACAAAATGATCCGAGTGTGGTGCCTGAGAACCTGTGCTCCAGTTGCTGTCCTGCACGGGCACACAGGCTCCATCACCTCCTTACAGGTAGGGGGGTTGGAAGAGTCTTCTTCTGAAATTTATTTTGAAAGCTGAACATTTAAAATATTTGTGTCCAAAAAAAAAAAAATGAGTAAAATAAAACCCCCAGGATAAAACTGCTTTAAAAAGCAGTGAATTCCTTGCCTCTCTGGGATTCCTGAGGATTTAACTGAAGATATTAACTTCTTCTCTTAGAGATCACTACTTATCATATTTGGGCTGTTGGAATCCAGGGGAATTCCTGGGAAATACCGTGTCCTCCTGTTTGTTACTGGTTTATGTGGATGAGTGACCTGATCCAGCATGTGATTCCTACAGCTGCTGGGACACAGGTTTTTGTCTTAATCTCAAAAATACGAGTTCCTTGAGAAGCACAGAGATGTTCAGTGGGGCGTGTTGTGTGTTTAAATTTGAAGGCCTCGTGTTCCATGATGTGCTCTTGGGGGTCCTTTGGATTCAGTCTCATTTTGGCCTTTCTAATCCCTTGTTTAACACACAAACTGGTGGCTCAATATCCAGTTTTCCAGTGGGACCAACAGCTTATGCTGAGGGGTGAAGAGCTGCTTGTGAAGCTCAGTACAAACAAATAATTTGGCATTTTTCTCTGCCTCTGAGAGTAATCTTCCTGTCTGCAGTTTCTGTGGCATTCACTGCAATTTTTGTTTGTTTTTTTTTTAATGCCCAAATATTTATTTGAGGTGCTTCTTTTATTATAGTCCATGGATTTATTTTAATTTTTCTTAGCAATACTATAATTGCACTAAGTACAATTTTTGTGGCTGTTTCTGACATTAGTAATTGATGAACAGTTTAATCACCTGGTGTTGTGTGAAGTTTTCTGCTCTGTGCACAGCAATAAATCCATGTCTTAAAGAAGTATTTCCAAGGAATTCCTATAAAATCACATGTGATGCTGAGTTATGCATTCAGACTGCCTCATATAACTCATGCTCTGCTTAATTATAGAATTTTTGGAGTACATCTGTCTAGCCAGACTTTCTTTTTTTTGTTCAGTCTGCTCTGCTTATTAGTTTCATTCCTGGACAAAACATTCAGTGAATGATTGTGGTTAGTTAATACTTCAAAACCAAACCACTGAACAAATTGGGTTTATGTGATGCAATAATTGAAATGCAGACCACAAAGTGATTTTCAAAGTGTGGAAGACATTACTCTGTGAGCACTAAAAATGATAGTTTAAAATTGTTAGAGCAGTGGTAATGTTCAAAAATCCAAAAGCAACTCGAGGTTTCACCTGAACCTTTTGATAAGTTCATAACCAGTTTTTCAATGTTTCTTTTTTTTTGTGTGTGTGTCTGATTTCCTTTTATTCTCTGTAGTTTAGTCCAATGGTGAAGGGCTCCATGAGATACATGGTCTCCACTGGTGCAGATGGAACTGTTTGCTTTTGGCAGTGGGATACAGATTCCATGAAATTCAAGTATGTAAATGGGCTGCTGCTGAAACCTCTTCTGCTGTCCTCTGCTTGAGTAAAATAAGTTAAACCCTAAAAAAAAAAAAAAAAAAAATTGGGTTTGTGATGGAAAAAAATGTTGTGGAAATAATTAATTCTGTGATTATTTTAAAGCACCATCACTAATTATGTAATTCACAAAATTATGTTGTCCTGAGAGATTAGCTGGCAAATATTTTAACTTCTTACTCCACTAAAAGTACAAAGTAATACAACAAGAATGGCTGGAAATGCAAATATGTTGCAAATGTAAATATGTTGCAAATATGAAGCATAATAAAGCTTCTTGTTTGAGTTGGGTTTCCAGCAGTCCTGGAGTTTTAGGGTGCCTCTTACAGAACTTCCATGCAGAGTGTGTATGTCCAGGATATCTATATGTGACTGTACCCCCCAAAAAATTAGATTATTACCAGAAAGAAAAGCTCCAGGATGCTTAGTCTTTGTCTGCTGTTGTGCCATATCATGAGAGTTGGTATAAAATGATCCATTTTGCATTAGAACTGCTATTAAATAAAGCTCAGTGCCTTAGAAAGCAGATTATATTTCATTATCATGTTTATTATCATATTTTAGCTTTTTAATTCAAACTTGTGGTGTTAAGGTAGAAGAATTGCAGCAAAACCTGTAAAAAGCATAGTCTCATCTGAAGAATCTTTTAGGGCTGTAAAACAGTGTTTAAACTGCATCCTTAATTCTTTTCCTTCTAAAATTAATTTAAAGGACTGTATGTGAGGTAACCATTGTTAGTTCATGCATGGACTTAAAGAACTTTAACCCCTGGTAGTTCTCAGAGATTTACAGATGTTACTGTGTCTAAGAAGTCCCTGTTAGGTAGAGGTTTGCAGAAACATCCCTTTATGTTTTGAGCTGTTGAGAAAAAAGCCAAGTTTTGGGTGGTGTGACCTGTTCAAAGCCTCTTTTCTTTTTTTTTTTAAGCAACCGGCCACTGAGGTTCACAGAGAAACCCAGACCAGGGGTCCAGATGCTTTGCTCTTCCTTCAGTGTGGGTAAGTCCTGGGCAGGTGGAGTGATTCCTCTTCCTTCCTCAGAAATAGAGATATAAAATTCGGTTGTGACAGCTTTAAAATGGACAAAACCTGCAGCTGTGAGTAAATAAGTGTACAGATGTGTGTTAACTATGGCATAATTCAATCATGGGGCTTCCCTCAGCTAACAGTGGAAAGCTGTTCAGAGAGTGATTTCACAGAAGTAAAAGTCACCTGATGTTTGTTTAGTTTTTCTCCATCTTTGCTGGATTTTTATTTTGGTTTAATCCCCTGATACAGTGTCAGGGATTTGCAAAACAAGTTCTCTGAGGTCCCACAGTCACCAGCACTGGAAGTGGTTCCTGCCAGCAGGAGCCTCCTGATTTTGTGCCAGGGATGGTTGTAAAGATCCCTTCTTTCCTAAGGATCCCCAGATGTACCTGCAAACGTGCTTCACTCCTGGCTTGCAGTTTTCTTTCATCCACTTCATGGGGCTTTCTGAGAATTTCAGAAATAAAATAACAAATCCAAGTGTAAATTGTTAACATGGTCAGGATAGAGCCCAGATGAGACCCAGGCTACAGTGAGAGTCACCTACAGAATTCTGATTATCCAGAGCCATATTCCCCATCATCTCTGTGTGCAGTTTAGTAATAGAAGTTTCACTCTTGTTCTAAGTTAAGAATTTTTAAAATCTTTGTGACGCTGATTTATTTTTACTGTGGCTGAGAAAACTTTCTGGGGCAAGAGGGGGATTTCCTTGCCTGTGTGTCAGTGGAAGAGCATAAAAAATGTGCCATTCTTCAAATAGTTGTGGGTTGGTTTTGGGTTTTTTTTATTTTATTTCAATCAGAAATGGTGGAAATCTGCTTTAATTTCTTAAGCAATAGCTTAATTATTGCTTGATTTTTTTACAGGTGGTATGTTTTTAGCAACTGGCAGCACTGACCATGTCATCAGGATGTATTTTTTTGGCTCTGAAACACCTGTGAAAATAGCAGAATTGGGAAGTCATGCTGTAAGTAATTAGTTAATTAGTCACTTCAAGCAGTAATGAAGTCACAGGGTAATGTTATAAGTGGGTTTTTAGCAAGGCTCTCAATTAACTTTGTTTACCTTTATGTGTTTTCTCCCAATATTGAATCTCACTTTCTGTTGCAGTGATAAGGTTTGGCCAATACATATTTTGTATGCAGAGGATTTCAGCTCTGAAAATAAAACCTGTTACCTATTTTTCTCTATTTCTGCTGCAGTTTGTATTGTGATAAAAGTGAATAACTAATAGTTCCTTTCTTTAAAAAGTGTGTAGGTAGAAGTGGAAACAACACATTCCTCACCACTGGCTTATGGTATTGGGAATATATTCAAATATGATTCAGTTGGCAGCCAGGTTATTTAATCTGTTAATCCTTCATGTTTGATTTGGGCTGTTCAGGAAACTTGCATTTTAAATGCATTAATGCTTAGTGAATCCTGGGCAGTATTTGTTGGATTTGGTTCTCCTTGCAGTTTAAAACTCTTCAGAATTATAAAATGTGCAGTTTTTTCCTTGTTTCAGCTTTTACTGAGCTGAGATTTGTCAAAAATGGTACTTCTTGTATAAAAAATCCGAATTTTCTAACAAACTGCTTTTTTTTTACAGGACAAAGTTGACAGCATTCAGTTCTCTAATGGTGGGGACAGGTATGTTGAAAGATGCTCAAATGTGAACAGAAAAATGCATCATTTTGGAATTAATAAGAATTATTGTTCTTACCTGGATGTTTCCAATGAGAAAAATCCACATATTTAGAGCTCAGAGGGGAAATTTGGACTGATCCAGGAAAGCTTCATTTACCTGGAGGAATGTTACCACTTTTTAATATACCCAAGTGTATTTGTGGCTTCATAAACCTCCTCTTCCCCCCTCCTTTCACTGTCAGGAAATATTATAAAGGAAATAGGAAAAATGCAGTGAAAATGGTAAAAAATAAGTTATAATCCTTTTCTTCTGATTTCCTCTTGCCTCTGCTTCAGTACCTGATACTCTGCAATTACTCAAAACACTTCATGAAAGTGTTGTAACTGAGGAGTTGAGGATGAAGTTGTGAATTGAGTTTAACTTTGGAACTTGCTTCTTTATTCTTCATGTTTTGACAACTTTACTTAGTTCAGAAAACTCTCTTTCCTCTCTTTCTGGAAAGGAAGTTAAAGGACAGAATTCTCTTGCACACACGTGGAAGATTTCACTTCTGTGACTCTTCCATTGCAGAATTGATGTTGTGGTGGTGTGCAGCTCCAAATATGCTTTAAAGCAAATTCTTCTGAAGGAAAATTAACTATATTTTAACATTTCTTCAGGTTCATAAGTGGCAGCAGAGATGGAACAGCCAGAATCTGGCATTTTGAGCAGGCAGAGTGGAGGAGCATCTTGTTGGACATGTCTGACCGATTGCTGGGGTAGGTGCAGAGGGAGTTGATTTCTTGTTTTGTGAAGTCAGAAAGATTGAAAAACTCAATTCCTCCAACTTAGAGTGAGCCTTGGCAACATCCTGGTCGAGTTCTGTGCTGTCTGGAGGGGTGAAATGGGTGTTTTGCTGATGGAGTAATGGCTGAATTTGAGGCTGTGCTTGGAGAAAAGCAAAAGTGTTCATAAAGATTTCAAGTGGACTCTAAAAAAAAAAGTGTACAGAAAGTGCAATCTCCCTTCTCTGTCTGGATTTCAGACACCTGGTGTGTCAGGGGAGAAATATTTTTAGCTCAGTAAAAATAAAGTGGGTGGTAATTAACCCATTTCCAGGAGAGGTTATGACTTGTGGGTTTCCTCAAGGGCTGATCTTGCTGACTCTTCTCATTTTGTGCTTCAAAAAAAGGTGCATTAATGAAATGCTGGTGGCACAGCCTGAACAGTGGCATTACAGATGAAAAGCAGGGTATTACTTGCTGGATAAACCTGAAGGGTGGATAATTTACAGGAGCACAGAATGCTTTCAGTCAGCTTCCCCAGACACTAAACAAGAGTTGATTTGTAGGTGATTAAATGAGGTTTTAACGAAATGATTTGTAGGTGATTAAATTAAAAGCCAAGCCTTGGGTACAGGAGTTGATTGGGGGGTGATTTCCAGCTCTTCTTGTGATGCAGCCATGAAAAATAAACATGATTTTACAAAGAAAGGAGGAGTTATTAATAAATAAGATTTGAGATTTGACTGGGGTTGTGGAGTTGAGAGGGTCCTTGTAAGGGAAGCCTCTGGTTGACATGGAATGCAGATAATCCTGTGGGAAGGGGTGTTCCAAGGAAAGCTTGTTCCTTCACTTGGACTAAAATGCTGAGGGGGAGTTTTGCAGTATCCTAGAAGTGTATTTTGGGGAAAGAATAAGGAAATAGACTGAGGTTGAAACAAAATATTATCTTTGCTATATTTATTTGAGGACTCAGAAAAAAAACCCCTTGGCTAATGTAGAGATTGGCTTCTGAATCAGTTAATTTGGAAAACCTGCCTGAAAAAAGTCCCAAATTGTAAAGGGTTTCTGTTAGGACTCTGATTGTAGAAGAGCCAAGATTCCATGGAAGAGAAAAGCCTTTTTGCCTGGCATCTCAAAAGGGAAGGAGATTATCGTGTCCTCTAAAATAAATGTGCTAAAAATCCAGATTTGCTTTAAGTGAAGGAAGTTTATGGACAAAAGTTTCAACCCAAGTTTAATGATTCTTCGCTTCCCTTGTCTGATCATGAGAAAACAAGTTATGTTTCTGTCTTTTGAGGTTGAAATGTGCTAATTAAAGCTGTCTCTGGCCTGTTTGACTCTTTCAAACAGTGACACTTGTGCAGAAGAAGACAAATTCATGAAGCCCAAAGTGACCATGATTGCCTGGAACCAAAATGACAATTATGTTGTTACTGCTGTGAACAATCACCTGCTCAAAGTGTGGAATTCCTGCACAGGGCAGTTGCTCCATGACTTGGTGGTATGTCCTTTTCCTTGCTTTTTGGAAGATTTTCCTGGGATTGCAGTGATGTTTGTGCTGAGTTCCTGGTTAGATCTCGTTTGTCTTGAAGGCTCTGTCTGAATGGTGCAGCAACTGTGATGCTTTTTTGGAGGTTTTTTTTAACCAAAACTCGCTGGTTTCCTCCTACATTTGGATTTTCCTTTCCCCAGGTGCTGCTGAACTTGTGGAATAAATAAAAGGTTTTGTGCAGTAACTCACCCATTGAATAACTCACAATCCTCTGGCAAAATATTTCTACAGTTTTTGCTTCAATCTCGAAAATTATTACCTTTAGAATTTAAAGCCTTTCTGGCTGCCTGGGGTTTAATTTTCCAGAGAGGATGGTCCAGGGCTTTGGTAAATCCCTGTTGTATGTACTCTAAATGTACTTTTGATGTGGATTTTCCTTGTCATGTGCCATTTGAAATTCCAGGGCCATGCAGATGAGGTGTTTGTCTTGGAGACCCATCCCTTTGATTCCAGGATAATGCTCTCTGCAGGTCACGATGGCAACATCTTCATCTGGGACATCACCAAAGGCACCAAAACCAAGCATTACTTCAACATGGTGAGACCTTTCTTAAACACCATAAACTTCCCAACACATACCAGCTGAAGGAATTGGCAGCAACACTCACACCCCCCCTGCACCTTTTGGAAAAAAAAAAAAAACAAAAAAAAACCCCAAACAAACAAACAAAAAACACAAAACAAAACAAAAAACCAACCAACCAAACAAAACACCAAACAAATACAAAAAAAACCCAAAAACAAACAAACAAAAACCCAAAAAACAAAACAAACAAACAAAACCAAAACAAACAAAACAAAACAAAAAACCAAAAAAACCCACAAAAAACAAAACAAAAAACAAACAAACAAAAAAAACCAAAAAAACAACAACAAAAAAAAAAACCAAACAAAAAAAAAAAACAAAAACAAAAAAAACCAAAACCAACCCCAAACCAGCAAAATTTATGTTCATTTTTTTCCTCAGGGCTTTTACTTTTGAATTTCCTGGTTATTGCAGCTTTTCCACTCTTTGTTCCTAAAGAGTGCACCTCATTTGTAGGAGCTGTTTTCCTCAGCTGAGGGTGCCATCTGAAAGTTTCTGGTTTAGACAATTATTTTGGGAGCCTGGGGGACAAATATTTGTATTTTCCACTGTCTTAAAAATTATTTTATTACCCATTGGCACAGTTCTTGAGAGCTCCCATTACATTTGCTGCGTTTCAAGCTCATGGTTTACACTTTAAATTAGGTTATTTTCTCTGAGATTTAAGTTTTGATTTAAAGTTCATATAATTTTTTACTTCTTTTATTTTTTTCTGGTTAGTCAATAGCAAAGGGATTTTTTTATTTTTTTTTTTAGCTCTAAGATTGTCTGAGTTTTTCTTCCAAGTGGTTTAACAAAATCAATATATATTAGCTCCAGTTTACTTTAAGCAATGCACTAACAGCTAAAAAGCCTAAAAAAACACCTTTATTTCTTTACTTTTTTCCCTGAAGAGCAAGTTTTCCTGCTCTTTAGTGCATCTATTCAACTTGAAGGACTGAGGATTTAAATTCAAAGGGGAAAAGGGAATGTCAAAGGGAAAGGAAATAAACTGAAGTAACAAGATTATTTGTGCCTCAATGGAGGTATTTAAGAGCTGCATGATTGCTTTTCATGGAATAATTAATTTTTGGTGTGCATTATGGTTTGCTTGCAAAAAAATCATCCCATAACCTGGAGGTTTCTTTTCCTTCACTGCAGATCGAAGGCCAAGGCCATGGGGCTGTTTTTGACTGTAAATTTTCCCCAGATGGGCAGCATTTTGCATGTACAGATTCCCATGGGCACCTGCTGATATTTGGGTTTGGCTGTAGCAGGCCTTATGAAAAGGTAAGTTCAGCTTTTTATTATTTTATTCTCTTGTTTATATGCTCCTGGCACAACAGGAACAGCCACTGTCCCAACATTCCCTTGGGAGAAGCTCCCAAGAAGAACTTCTCTGGAATACATTTGCACCTTCCACTAATTCACATTAATTGTTCAACCTGAAAATTACTTTTCTTCCTAATTTCTGGAAATAGCTCAGTGTTTAAAGATTGGAACATATGACAAAAGTTTATTGCTCCACTACCTACTTAAACAAAACCAGACCCTGTGTATGGGAAGGATAATTTGCTGGTTTATCTTTTTGGCCTTTCCATATTTGAGCCCAAATTCACAGTAGTTGATTAAAGGAAGTGAAAGTAAATATTCATCCAACACTGTGGATTTGGAAATGTTAGAAAAATGTGTGTGGGGACAAATGCTGTACTCTTTTGAATCAGCCTGTTTGCTTTTTGTTTTGATAAATACACGTGTTTCTTCTTTTCTTCGCTCCCCCTCAGTTTTTTTCAGGTTGAAATGATAATTCCATGTATTCCATTGTAAAGAATTATTTTTTTTCTTGCTCTGCCTTCTTAGCTGAAGTTGAAGCTTGTTCTGTTCATCCTTCCCATCAAGAGAGCAAAGATTCTGCTTGTGATCTAATATTTTACAGAACTGTTTTCCTTCAGCCTCCTGGACTCAGTAGACTTGGAGAAAAATTTTCGGGTGGACATAAATGAAGATTAAGACAGAATTCATGATTGGGAACTTTGAGAGATGATGTTGAGCTTTAGGCAATGATTTCCTCACATGGAAACCAAGGAAACTTCTCTTAATTGTAGGAGAAAAAGATAGAATATGTATAAAATATTTTTAAGTGTAAAACAGTGCTTTTGCTTTAAGTTACTTCAGCTTTTAGGCCAAAATCACTGAAAAATTGGAATACTGCAACACCCATCCAGGTTAATTGAAGTTGTGCATAACTTCTTGTGGGGAACTTGCCCTTTCTTTTACCTTTAGGGAGATTTTAGATACTTTATTCTGCTCTTTGGCATCTTCTTTTTGTCACATTGATGACATAAACATATCATTTCCTTCAGATTCCTGACCAGATGTTCTTCCACACGGACTATCGGCCGCTGATCCGAGACTCCAACAACTACGTCCTGGATGAGCAGACCCAGCAGGCCCCTCATCTCATGCCCCCTCCCTTCTTAGTGGATGTGGATGGAAACCCTCATCCCACAAAATATCAGAGGCTGGTGCCAGGAAGGGAGAACTGTGCAGATGAACATCTGATTCCTCAGCTCGGATACGTGGCAACAAGTAAGAGCAGAACCACTAAAGACCCGTTCGCTCCTTCGGTTCTTTTCTGACGTGCAGGGGCTGTGTGGGAGTTGGAGACTCCATAAATTCTCATTTGGAATAAGCAGTTGGAATAATTTCATCCCTTTGCTTTGTTTTACACTCACAAGGTGATGGAGAAGTGGTGGAACAAGTGATTGGCCAGCAGACCATTGATCAGGATGAGCAGGGCTTGGAGCCCAGCATCCTGGATGGGATGATCAGACAGTTACAGCTGGAACAGGATCAGAGAACTGGAGCTGATCAAGAATCTGCTTCAAATGCCCCACAAAACGGGGAGGGAACACCCAGAAGAGGTTGGTAATCACTGATAAATTCTTAGGGGATTGTTCTGTCTCCATTTTTATTACCCTGTATGAAATACTGGAACGGGTTTTAACTTTATTGTTGTTTTGGGGGCTAAAATTCCTTTAACACAGTGATAACTGGGTGAGATACTTTTCCTGATGAAAACAGCTACTCCTGTGGTTAAATTCCAAAACAAAGCATGTCACTTTTCCTTTTGAACAACATTAATTCCTTGTGGGGTGCTACATACTTAATAATATTTGTAAAGTACTCAAATAACATTTATGCAAAATAAATACAATACTTATTTTCCCAAAATATTTTTAATATAAATATAGAAATATAAATATAAATAATATGACTATAAATGTTTTTGCAGTACTTATTTTTTTGCAAAATAAGAATTGTGCCATTATTCAAACTGGTTTCTCCTCTCCCTTCTTTACAGATTTAAATGAGACCCTTTTCTGAGCTGTGTCCTTGTAGTTTTAATTATAGAATTATAAAATATATATATATAAAAAAAATATATGTTATGAGATATAATTATGTAAAGAGAAGACATATAATCATGTAAATACATGATATATGATTGTATTTAATCATATAATAATTTGGTTTTAATCCTGTACACTCAGCTCCAGGAAAAGTGCTTTTTAGAGCCTCACCAGCCTCAGAGCTGCCTGGAAGTTCAAGAAAACCCCTGTATCACATCCCACTTCCTTCCACTGTATTCAAATAGTAGCAGAAATCATAATTTTTACAAGTCTATGTGTAATCTCTCTGTATTTTCTATATAACTTATGTATTTCCTGGGACACAGATGATTCTCGAAGGTTGGTTTGAAGTCGCGTCCTTACGACCATATAAATCTAGAAAACACTGATTATCTTGTAGCAAGGAGACACAAGGCTCCAGTTCTCTGGAGCCTGGTTACAAAAAAAAAAAAAAGTGGGTGTTTTTTTGTGTGTTTTTAGCTTTCAGGAGGGCGAGTGTGGACATCCAGAGTCCCCCCAACATCGGGCTGCGGCGCAGCGGGCAGGTGGAGGGCGTGAGGCAGATGCACCAGAACGCCCCACGCAGCCAGATGGCCACAGAGAGGGACCTGCAGGCCTGGAGAAGGAGGGTTGTGGTGCCAGAAGTCCCTGCAAGCCTGCTCAGGTCTGTGACAGCCTGCTGGGCTGCAGGTGTGACCACAGAGAGAACACTTCAGCTGGGTTTTGATACACCTGGTGCTGTTAAACCCAAGCTAAAGGAGGAGTAGTTCAGTGTCGTGGTCAGATGGGCTTAAACACTCTGAATTGTAAAGGCCATTCAGCAAGATTAAATGGAAGTTTATCTGGTTGAATGGTTATCTTGTATTTCAGTATATTCAGTCATCTTCAAGGGCAGCTAGCTGACCTAAATTCCTGCTTTCTCCAGAATAAAAGACAGGGGTTGAATTCATTTCCATGAAAGAGCTGAGTGAGATTGTGCTTTCTGTGAGACTTTTGGGGGTGATTTTTGACCAGGAGCAGCACCAAGCACTTAAAAATAAAAAACTAGAAAACCTTAACCCTAAAACAGCTGCTTTCAAAAGGACTCTCAGTGTTAGAACACAGTGCTGATAATGCAGTGTCATGGGAGAAAATCCCCATATGGGCCACTCACTTAAGAGCTGGACTGAGATGATCCTTGTAGGTCACTTCCAGCTCAGAATATTCTGTGATTCATCTGTAAAAAGAAAAATTAATAGCTAAATATTTCTCTTTAGCCATATGTGCTACCACACCTCTGAAGGTTTCAAGAAGCATTCCCTGTGTTGGGAAGTAGAGTGATTGCAAAGGGAGGAACGTGGATTAAAAATGGGGTTGGAAAAAGTTGGTTATATGATGTTTGCAAGGAAGAATTTCTTAATACCCATCTTTTTTTTACTCTTATCTGGAAATGAGAGGAGAGCTGTTTGAGCAGTAAGAACTGCAGTTAACAGTGAAGTGGAATTAGGCATTTTGGGATAGATCCTTGAACGAGGTCAGCACTGTCAAAACAGATGGAGAATTAGATTTTCCCCACTTTCTTGTAGGAAGCAGGAAGAATATCGGACTGCAAAAGGGGAAGAAGAGAGAGATCTTTATGTAACAGAGAAGATAAAGTCATTTGAGTCATTGGAAAAGGTATGTGGGAGCCCCTTGGAAAATGGGCATTCTGTGCCCAGGGACAAGTGGTGTAAAAAGTGAAAGCAGGTCCTTCTGAAGGTGTGGCCCTCAGAGGACCCTGATGATTCAGCTTCTAGTTATTGCAGGACAAGATTGGATTTATTTTTATGACTACCTAGAATTCTATTGGTTTTCAGTCCTGCCTCCTTCCATCTGAGGTATTTGGGAGTCATTCTTGAAGGCAGGTTTGCTTCAGGCCATTCTGGGTTTGCTGCAGTGGAACCCAGTGGTTGCAGGTCCATGCTGAAGCACTGAGGTGCAAGGGAGAACGTTCCATATTTGAGGAATTGCAGGCTGTATTGCTGTTCCCTTGTTTGACTTTACATGATGGTGTTTTGTGAATGGGGAGAGTTTTTCAGACTTGCCTTGTTTGGAATGCTTTTTTCATGGTCTGTTCTGTGGAAGAGAGTGGTAAGAAGCAAAACTTGGTTACTGTGCTGTTTTTATAAGATTGGGGCCTGATTCACTGTGTCTTGCAGTACAAAACAGTTTCACCCAAGAATTTCACTGCATGATCCCCTTTCCTGAGAAGAGTTGGGGAAAGAAAGGCTCAGAGAGTTAGGATGATTCAACCTGGAGAAGGGAAGGGTTTGGGAAGACCTAACTGTGGCCTTCCAGGACCTGAAGGAGCTACAAGAAAGATGGAGAGAGACTATTTCCAAGGGCCTGGAGTGACAGGACAAGGGGGAATGGCTTCAAACTGACAGAGTAGGGTTAGATGGAATATTGGGAATAAATTCTTCCCTGTGAGGGTGGGGAGGCCCTGGCCCAGGTTGCCCAGAGAAGCTGTGGCTGCCCCTGGATCCCTGGAAGTGTCCAAGGCCAGGCTGGAGAGGGCTTGGAGCAACCTGGGCTGGTGGAAGGTGTCCCTGCCCATGGCAGGGGGTTGGAACTGGATGATCTTTAAGGTCCCTTCCAACCCATTGTGTGATTTCTCTTCTCTCAGAATTGCACACTCTAGGCACTTAATGTCCTGCTTCTGTAAATATATTTAGCAGGTTATTTGAATGGACCTGTCACAGTAGCTTAAAAAGAGCAATTTCCTAATAAATCCTAAATTTGGAACAGCAAATTTAAAACTTTTGGCTTACAGGGATATTATTTTGAAAAGGAATTTTGTCATGATGAGGCTGTGACGTGATGAGGCCGTTTCAGTTTTGCAGTCAGCAGTGCTTTTAGCCACCCTTTCACCCTCAGACAAGTGTGCCACATAAATATTTTTATTTAACTTGTTTTTTTTTCCCCTCCAATTAGAGTGACTCCGAGTCCTCATTAATCCAGTCGAAGCGCCGGCTGCACAGACGGAAATATTCCAATTACCGAACACGGAATAACATTGAACAGCTGGAGTCTTCTGATGAGGAAAGGGACAACTGCTTGGGCTTGATAGACCAGGTAAGCTCTTTTCTGAGTTCTCATTTTGAACCTGAGCTCCTCAGTAGGTGAAGTTTCACGTGAATGTGCCTTTTCTCTCTTAAAACAAACGAGCAAACAAAGAAAACTCCTCTTTTTCCAGAGGAAGTATTTTTCTGGGCATCGTTATTGTTGGCACATCCCAAGCTTTGATATTTGTTGCTTTGATAACTCCAGTCTTTCCTGTCACTTTATAAATGGCTGAACTGGTTTTGCTGAGGATCCTTTAAACCAAATGCAAAAACCTGAGGGACAACTGATTTCAGCTGAAGTTCGGATTTGAGATGGGCTTTGCTGTGTTTCTCTGTGAAAAACCTTCCAAATTTGTGCACACAACTAAAAGTGGACCTTGTGAAGGTCTTTGGTGATGTGATTCTTCCACAGGGTCTGTTCCTCTTGGCTTGGGGTGGCACAGGACTTGGCTGTGGGCAGCAGGAACTTTTGGCTGTTGGATTATGAGAATTTGTAAATCACTGGTAGGACTGTTGGACTGGAGTTGTTTTAAGGAAGGAAAGGAAATAGTCTCAAACTGGGAAAAGGGGAAAAATTGGAAGGAGTAGAGAAGGTTGGAGCAGTCACTTGGTCAGAGAAGAATGGTGAACAAAATGGGGGATGTTCAGGAGAGAAGGAAATTTTGTGAGTAAGACAAGGAATGATATTCCTTGGAAATGGACTCTCCTCTTCTGACCTCTCAATAAAGAATTCCAATGTGGTTAAAAACAATTAAATCACTTAAATTTAATGAAAAGTTCAGGTTTTCCTTATTTTGGGAACAGTGTGGAAGGGCAGGTGACAGGAAACTTGTGCCACCTGACATTGAAAGCACAAAGTGATAATGGGAGAGTTGTGTGCAGTGTCCTGAAAATACCACATGTCTGAAATATTTTTGAAAAACTGATTTTTGACCTGATAATATCTGAAGTAATAATCTTATAAAAATCTGAGCATTTATGTAAATGTTCCAGGTTTTTTGGTTTATTTTTTGGTTTTATTCCTGTGAATGGTAGGATAAAAAAGAACTGAAATGTCACGTTCAATCTTGTTTATTGGGGGGTTTATTGTTTCTGGTTTTTTTGCTTGACAGCACAGAACTTGAGAAGTAAACAATGCATTATACTTAGTCATTCCAGCTGTGGAAAACACACTTAAAACATGAAGTTGATGCAAATAAAAAGCTGAACAACAATCAGAAAATTACTGAAGTCATGATATATTTTGCTGTATCTGTACTGTTTAGTTTTGCATTTAAATACATGCAGGAATACACCCAGTTAGTACTTGGTCAATCAGTTGATGCCAAAACCAGGGGGAAAAAAAATCACCTGATTCTAATTTTCATAATTAACAAAAAAAAAAATCATAGGAGGGACAAAATATACCCATGTTGTGTGTGGAGGGGAGATGTGATGTTTTCACTTGATATTTTCACTTGATCTGTTCTTTTTACAGTGTGTAAATTCCTCCCTCACAGAGAGATTTTATGCTGTGCTTTACATGCCCTAATTCCTTTCATTTCCATTTGAACTTCTTACCCCCTTTCTTCCTGACTTGATAACATAAATGTTTATGTTTCAAATCCTTAAAGCGTGTGCTCTGAGAAAATTTGGGATTGACTGCTTGTCTTTAAATTTAGGAAGCTGAAGAAAGTGAGGGCTCTGGCTCATCAGATGAAGAGGAAGAGTGGAGAAGTGACAAGAAAAGCAACAGTAACAGTTCTAGGTAAAAGGGAACAAACATCCCAGATTTTACTTGGTGATGAGCTTTACTTGAATTTTGGCAACTTCAGAGTTGTACAGAAGCTCTGGTGTGCCTGAGATGTGATTACAGTCTGTATTAGAATTCCTGTACTTTACTGACACACTGAATTGTTATTTATGGTTCCATTTCACCAAATAATTTCTGTCTTTTAATGTCGTTTCAAATCCCTCTGGTTGTTTTACTAGATGACAAGGAGAGAGAAAATAGCCTGGAACACTTTTATACTGTGTTATGTTCTGTTGGGGTTTTTGAGGTGTGAGCGATTTTGTTTGGGTTTGGGGTTTTTTTGTTTGTATAGGTTTATTTATTTGAATAATACAACAGCAGTCAATTCCTTGATCTACAAAATGTATTTGGAAAAAATCTTAATTTTTATAAGGTTCTAGTTTTATGCAGAACTGAAGTTGTAGATAACTTTTTAATCACTCCGTTTTGGCTTTTTAGGATATTTTTTTTTAGAACTCTGTTGTAGTAGAACCTAAAAATGCTGAGAGAGAGAAAAAGCAGATGTGCTACTGTGAGTTGTGTGTAACTGTAAAGAATTCAAGTAGTGTTTGTCTACTGTGTTCTTTAGGGAGGGCTCCTAACTAGTCCAGAACTTCATTGCACAACTTTATTGAATAAAATGTCTGATTTTAGAAATCACCAGACTTCAGTTTCTTTAAAAACTGTGCTTTGAATTCCCAGTGTTCCCCAAAAAAAAAAAATCACGTTAAAACTTAAAATCATGACAAGGTCAAAGGAATTGTAGTGCTTTTGATGCTGCTTTCAACAGCAATTTTTATCTGCTGGAAATAGTGACCTCTTGGTTCTGTGTTTGTGTTTCCCTGGCCCCTTGGGCAGCGATTCCTCGAGCAGATATTCCGACTGGATCGCGGACGCCGGGATCAACCTGCAGCCCCCCGTGCGGACCTCGCGGCGCAAAGTGCTCAGGTACTGCAGCACCTCGGAGGATGAGGTGTCAACAGAGAAATCATCCCCTCCCAAGAGAAGAAGGAGGAAAAGGAGAAAAAAACCCAAACCAAAAAGGCAGGAGGAGGTATAAATTTCATTGCTTCTACTCTGCCTTCAAGTGGTTTCTCTCTCAGGTTTTTAGGCCTCCTCAGTGGAAACTGTTAAAGTTGTTTTGTTGGGATTAGAGAGGAATGTTGGTGTCACTCCACACAGTTATGTGGAATTGGTTTGAGGCCATCCCAGATGTGAGGCATCTGCTGATTTCTAGGGAAGAATCAGCATTCCAAGTGAAGCTACTTTCGCTTTCCACATAAAAAGGGTTCTCAAGGTTGCTGGGATTAAAAGGGAAATGTGTTTATTAAATATCTGTACAGAATGTCAGACTCTCACAAGGGCATGGAGTGATAGGACAAGGGGGAATGGCTTCAAACTGACAAAGAGTAGAGTTAGATGGGAAATTAGGAAGGAATTCTTCCCTCTGAGGGTGGGGAGGCCCTGGCCCAGGTTGCCCAGAGAAGCTGTGGCTGCCCCTGGATCCCTGGAAGTGTCCAAGGCCAGGTTGGACGGGGCTTGGAGCAACTTGGGCTAGTGGAAGGTGTCCCTGCAAGGGTTTGGAATGAGATGATCCTTAAGGTCCCTTCCAACTCAAACCATTCCATGACTCTGTGGCTACAACCCTGTCAAACTGTTTTAAGGGACAGTCACTGTATAGTTGATGCCCATTTATACTTAGGTTGAATTTTTAATTTTTTATTATTTTATTTATTAGTTACAAGAATTTTTCAAAAATTGTTTAGTGAATTCAAACAATTACCCTTTTTTAAGTTACAATAACTACTATTTGTTATTTTCTACCATAAAGGAGCAAGCAAATTGTTTTTTTGAGGCAATTTTGATATGTTTTTGCCATGTTTTTCTCTCCATCATTCCACTTTCTTCCGAGTAACCTCAAATAGTTTCTTACAGCTTGATAAATTTTTTAATAAGTTGTTGTGTGCCAAATTAAAATGTAATGAGTTGAATTTGTGTCTGTTGTGTCTAATTCTGTGAAGGCTGATGCTGCAACACAACCATTAAACATGGAATTGTCCCATGACTGGCACCCTCCAGTGTGGATAACAGACACAGCCCTTCGGAGATCCCCCTTTGTCCCTCAGATGGGTGACGAGGTAGGAACACTGATTAAAACCTTCCAGTGCTTCTGTGATTACCCTGATTACTAAATACAGGAAAACATTGACTGTTTGGGGTTTGCTGGGCTTTGTTTTAGGTGATATATTTCCGACAAGGGCACGAAGCTTACATTGAAGAAGTGAGAAGAAATAACATTTACGAACTGAATCCACACAAGGAGCCGTGGAGGAAAGTAGTGCTTAGGGTAAGTCTGCACTGAGGAGTCTGTGGGTTCAATATCAGTCATCTGTGACTGAAGAGTTTCATTACAGTGTTTGTAAAACAACAGGGGGAAAGTGTCTTCAGTTCCCAGAATGTCTTCAGAGTTCCCTGTGGGAAGCCCAGATTAAATCCCTGTGTTAACAGTGTCGGGTTTGAGAGGCTGTCATTGAAATCTCCGATCTAGTTTCAATATTCAGAGGTTTTTGCCCGCAGTGCAGTTGTTTAACTGATGTTAAACTGACAATTCTCTCCGTGGTCCCTGGGGTGAAACTTCCTGAAGCTGTTTGTTCTCCCCTGTAGGATCAGGAATTGGTAAAAATTGTTGGAATTAGGTACGAAGTTGGCCCTCCCACGCTGTGCTGCCTCAAGCTCGCCTTTATAGACCACGCCACTGGCAAGCACACAGACAAATCGTTTTCCATCAGGTATGTGCATCTCTGCTTTTCTGAGAAGTATTTAAAAATGTGCTTCTGTTGAATCTTCCTCCTAAAGCCCTGAGGAACAAGTGAAATAGGGGATTTTTTTTTCCCCTGTAGGTACCACGACATGCCAGATGTTATCGACTTCCTTATCTTACGGCAGTTCTACGACGAAGCCCGGCAGAGGAACTGGCAGGCCTGTAAGTGTGTTTGCTGGGTGTTTGACTGAGCAGTTTTGAAATCACAAATCTGTCCTTGGCTAATTCCTGCTTGTCTGTAGGTTCAGAGGGTTCCCTAGTAGGTAAGAATTAGAAATTCGAGCCTTGGAGCTTAATAGGGTCGTCAAAACATCTCTTGAGATCTCATCTCTTTTTTTTATGCTGGTGGGTTTAGAACTTTAATTACAAAAAGAAATCAAGAAATGACATTTATCAGCAGTTTTTCCAATTCCCTGTAGAAGAGAAGTGGTTAAATAACTTCCCTTAGCAGAATATGTGAGCAGAGTGTTGTGCTGTAGCCGACAGGTTCCGCTCCATCATTGATGATGCCTGGTGGTTTGGGACAGTGTTGGGACAAGAACCTTACCAGCCTCAGTACCCAGACAGTCACTTCCAGTGCTACAGTGTTAAGTAAGTACAACATTTTACCCTTCTGTTGTTGGTGGTGTGGGTTGCCTCTCACACAGCTGCCTTTATTAGTGTGAGAATGTATAAATTGCTCAATTAAATAATTTTCCTGGTTTTATTGTCACTTAATGGTTTTAAGTTGCTAATGTAGTAAGAATATGTAAGAACTTGTGGCAACTTGTTAATGGATAGGAGTTGTTGACCTCTTCACATTTTCTGTAATGACTAAGGCTGGATCTCTTTCATGAACCAAACAATGCAATTTTTGGTGAACATTAATTATTAGTCTTCATTGATAACTGGATTTGGATGGGAGATGCTGAATCTCTGCTGTGGTTGCTGACATCATGGTCCTTATGCTTCCAGTCCTCACACTTCTGTCTGTCACATTGTGCACCCTTTTCCATATCAACAAGGAGGCCTTCACACAGAGGGGAAGATCAACAAAGATGTTTCTGGACCTCAGTGTTCAGAACCAGAACATCATCCTTGTCCTGCCCTGTCCAAGCTGTGTGGAACAGAAACACAGAATGGTTTGGGTTGGAAGGGACCTTAAAGATCATCTCATTCCACCCCCTGCCATGGGCAGGGACACCTTCCACCAGCCCAGGTTGTTCCAAGCCCCATCCAGCCTGGCCTTGGACACTTCCAGGGATCCAGAGGCAGCCACAGCTTCTCTGGGCAACCTGGGCCAGGACTTCACCACCCTCAGAGGGAAGAATTCCTTCCTAATTTCCCATCTAACCCTGCTCTCTGTCAGTCTGAAACCATTCCCCCTTGTCCTGTCAGTACCTGCCCTTGTGAAAAATCCCTCTCCAGCTCTCTTGTAAGTTCCCACTGGGCACTGGAAGGGTAATCCTGGGATTTTGCCTGCTTTGGATCCCCCCAGTGAGGGATGACTGTAAGGAGAATAAACAGTGAATACTTATTATTCCTATTTTTACCATGCCCAGGGATTGTTCCCATATCTTTTAAAGTAAATTTAATATTCAGATTTTCATTGTTGAAGGGCTTTTTAATTTATTTTTTTTTTGCTTTTGAACTTGTTGCTCAGCACAAAGAGAGGAAACATTTATAGGTAATAGGCAATTCTGTGAGACTGCCAAGATTGTGTTACATATTTTGGTTCCTTGTCTCATCTGCTTTCCTTGTCTTCTATCCCATTGATTTTCCTTGCTGGGAAGGTGGAATTAACTCCCAGATTGAAGTTCTTGCCTGTTCTGTTACTTCCCATATCTGTACATCTCATCATTTATGTTGTTATGTACCACAGTTGTTCCTTAAGAGCAAGTATAGATGGATTTGATTGTTTTCCTGCCCAGTTCAAAATCAAGTTTCCAGTTATGAAACAGAGCCTGGAGCCAATTTCCTGAGCTTCTTTCTTCTGTGAGAGCTAAAGGATATTTCAGTATTTTAATCTACCAGCCTTTAGCAGAGCAGAGCTTAATAATTGAACAGGGAAGGAATGCTGTGCTCCCCAAAGACCACTTTCCAAAGGGATCTGTTCCAGGATCTGTGCTGCCTTTGGAGAGAATGTGACTGTTCTAACTGGTCTCACAAACAGCTCTTCTAGAGGAGAATCCTAAGATATGTATATAAAAATATCAGGTGTATTTGGGTTTTGTGACTTACTCCTTTTGTCACACACTCAGTAATCTCAAATTATCACCATTGCTGTTGTATGGATAAGAAATAAATTGAAGATAAACTGAATTTTTTGTTATTTTATTGACCAGATAATAATAGGTTTGTGTAAAGCAGCTTGATATGTTAAGTTACATTAATTGAATAAACAGAGCTTAAGCAGAACTAAGTGGGGCTTAAGCTGTGCTAAACTATGTTGATAAAGTCTTACATGCAAGATTATGGAGTAGTTTATCCATTTGGGAACATCAGCAACTTCTGAAATATTGTACAGTAGCTGGGGAGGAGAACTGAACTGATGAACCTTCAGAGATCAAACAGGCTGAACGTGATGCATCCAAGTTTTCCTAAGTCATTGGATAATCCAAAACAATGGAGAGATGCTGTTGCCTGAGCAGAGGTTTAATTACAAAATACTCTGAGTATGGTCACTTCAATTTCCAGTTAGTTTGAAATAAATACACAGGAGGTTTTAGACCAAATATCTGAGTTTATTAAGGCATCAGAATTCGATGGCATTCACCCAGGAATTTGGAAATCTCTGCCAGGAAGCTGCTGGCAAAGCTCAGGAGGGAAAATGGTGAACTGTAGATTGATACATTTATTTCTGGTAGGTGCTGATAATAAAGAATAATATATGTGTATATATATATATATATAAAAGCTGTTAGAGAAACTAAACTGACAGGATTGGAGCAAATACATTTCCATAGGAGGCTGTGAGAGCAATATCAGCAGGTTCAAAAAGATACTGGACAAAAATAAGCAGATAGTAAAGGAAATAGGTTGGGATGTGTTCACAGCCATTCCTGGAGGAATACAGGGCTCAGGAATGCTGGGATGATGAGCACAGTGGGCTTGTACCAGGATCATGTGGACTGCAAACAGCATCTTCCATTTGCAGCTTCAAGGACACAAATTACTGGTGTAGTTGGACCAGCTGATCCAGTCAGACATTCCTTATGTTTGAAGTACCAAAATTTAGTGGTATTTTAGGTGTTGGAATTGGAGGGGTCTCAGACTGATGTTCATACTTGACATTTAAGTGTCAGAGTGAACATACAGGTATATCAATCTCACTTGTCTGTTTTTGCTACACTTAGACCTTAATTAACTTCAGTTTCTTCAGTTTATATTTCTTTTCTTTGGTTTAATATGATCTGCCTTATAAAATGAAATGTTAATATGGGAGATACCTCACTTACTGTTCTCATTCTGACACATTCCATGGACTTGCCCAACTCTTGTTGTGGTCAGCAGAAAAATCCTCCCCTGTGGTTTTTCCTCAAATCCTCCCCTTGATGTTGTTATCTCACTTTTCCAGGTGTGCAGCTTCTTTTTCTTCCTAAGCTTCTTGATACAGGCTTTGTAAAATTGATTTGTAAATTGGGTAGGTTGCATACAGCCAAAATCAGGACAGTTTTAACTCGAAAAATGTTTCCTTTTTGCTGTTTTGTTTACATGCAAGTTTATACAATATATTTTGCCAATACCTAAAAATAGCTGTAGTTTAAATGTTCTTATAGCTGTGATTGAAATGTGCTTGGAGGGAATACATCTGAGCCAAGATAACTTGAAATTATTATTATTTTATTTTACTTTTTCTGTGGTGAATCAGATGGGACAATGGTGAAATTGAAAAGCTGAGCCCCTGGGACATGGAACCAGTTCCTGATAATGGTAGGTAGAAACCTGTTAATAAATTGCTTTAATGTGCTTCTCCCTCTTTCCAGTTTTTTTGTTTTGTTCAGGTACTGGACCTGAGGTGATTCTCTCTTTGTATGAGTTCTTAAAGACAGTCTTGATTCAGATTTAGTGAAATAACTTCAGTATATTTATATTTTTCCCCTTGCATCCTCCAGGGCAATTTTGAAGGAAGTACTTTAAATGTTTGGAGAAAGTTTGGGAGTTATTGAGAGAATAGTTACTGAATAAACTGTAAAAAAAGACCATAAATCTAATTTATTAATAACCTTTGCTGAGTGTTTCCCAGACATCTGAAAGGCTTATATTTCTTCTTAAATCTGAATATGTTGCACACAGGAGGATGTTCTCTGTAATCTGTGTCCATCACTTTACCACAGGAAAACAGGGAAAGGACACACAGGAATAAAAAAAAAAGCTAAATGGTGATGTGTCTTTGATGGATAAGGTCAAAAAAATTGGGAATAACATCCTCTGAACAGGTCATGGATAAGGACCACAGCAACCACTTGTCTGCAGGAAGAACAAAAATTGTCTAAGGAGAATCCAGAACTCCTTGTTTTCCTTCTTTCCAGGCAGAAAACAACACTGTGTAGGGCAGTGAAGCTGTTAGACACACTTAGTGCATTTACAGAACCATTATTATGTTAACAATGTAGTGTAAAAAGGGGTTTAAACCCCTTCTCCTTGGCTTTCCCTTCCTTGTTTTTCCATCTGACTTACAGATCAGATGGAAACTGTACCTTGGATTTACCACTCTTCTCCCAAAATATTTCTTCTCCATTCAGTTTGCTAAGATGGAAGTGTGGGACAACAGCAGCACTGAGGGTGCTAATAATTTGGGGGTTTTTTTGGATCCTGCCAACATAAGTTTTGTCTCATGGTTATCAAGACAAACATTCAGATGTGTCTTGAAGAACTGCTTCATGTTTAGTGTTGTGTAAGTGGATAACAAACACTTGAAGGCTCTGTCAGTGCAATAATGAACAGAGAACTAGAAATTATTTGAGTTATTAAGACTAACCCTCTTCAGCTGAAGGGAAAAAAAATAGTACTTTTGGTACATTAAAACTTGAATTTTTCTCTGCATTAGTTGTAGCTGAAATGTATTTTAGTCTTGATATACAGCATATTCATGGATTACAGTCATCCTGACACTGCCAAGGAGCCTTTTCCTTCCTTGCCTTCATTTTCCATGGACAGACTCTCCATGCTCATGGAAGTGCTGTTTATATCCAACTCTAAGCCAGCATTCTTTGTTGCTTTGAAATCTGCCATGCTGGAAACAAATATTTTTAAATTGTCAGAAGATCACAGTCACAAGGGTGTCACAAGGTCTAACCTGCAGCTGTTTAAAGGTTTGTGGCACAAACTGGCTCATGACATTGTGATCCTGTGAAGTTTAGGATGTGCATCTAAAAAACGATAAACAGCCCTTCTGAGTCAAATCCTCTGTTAAGTCTTGTGCTTAGAAGAAGGGGAGGAAAGAGTTTTCTGGAAGTTCAGAACTGCAGAAGGAGAGAACAAAGGATATTTTGCTGTTACATACATTTTGTGTAATCTTTTCCCCATAGTTTTATCATCAGACTCCATTTCAAGGCAAGATTGATTTTTTTTTTGTCCTTTACAAGCCCATGATTAATAATTGTGAGTACTACACAATTTGCTGTGTATTCTCACTCCTTCCCCTCTCTGCTGTGTCTCTTCAGTTGATCAGCCTGAAGAATTAGGGGGCAGTGTCTCTGTGACCCCAGAAGAGGTGGAGAGGCTCCTGTACAAACCCCAGGAAGGGGAGTGGGGGATGAAATCTCGTGATGAAGCCTGTGAACGGATTATCAGTGGTATTGATCAGCTTATGACTCTTGGTGAGCATGGAATCCAAGCTTTAGGTAGTTTGCTCCTAAGCTTGATTTATAAAGAGCCCTGGGATATCCAGGGCATCCCCATTCCCTGGGATAAAGTACTGTAAATGTTCATATGTTTTTATGTGGTTCAACCTGGAGGAGACTTGAGGGGAGAGCACATTGCAGTCACAACTTGAGGGGCAGGCACTGAGCTCTGCTCTGGGGGGGACCAGGGACAGGACCCAGGGAATGGCCTGAAGTTGTGTCAGGGCAGGCTCAGGGTGGATCTCAGGACAAGGTTCTTCCCCCAGAGGGTGCTGGGCACTGACCAGGCTCCCCAGGGCAGTGGGCACAGCCCCAAGGCTGCCAGAGCTCCAGGAGAATTTGGATGATACTCTCAGGCACATGGTGGGATTCTTGAGGATCTTGACCTGCAGGGGTTGGACTCTGATCCTTGTGGGTCACTTCCAGCTGAGCACATTCTATGGTAATTTTATAAGTCATTGATTTTATCAAGAATTATACATGAAAACTGAACACCTGCCTCAATTGTCATCTGCCTACGAGCTTTGCAGCAGGATCATGGAATGGCCTGGACTGGAAGGGACCTTAAAGATCATCCAGTTCCAACCCCCTGCAAGAAAACCAAACCCTACAGAAATCCTGTCTAAAGGATTTCATGTTAAAACTGTAACCTTCATTTACCAATTCAGAATGCAAATGCAAATTATGGCAGTTCATAGAATCACAGGATGGTTTGGGTTGGAAGGGACCTTTAAGATCATCCGGTGCCACCCCCCTGCCATGGGCAGGGACACCTTCCACTAGCCCAGGTTGCTCCAAGCCCCATCCAGCCTGGCTTTGGACACTTCCAGGGATCCAGGGGCAGCCACAGCTTCTCTGGGCACCCTCACAGGGAAGAATTTCTTCCCCATATCCCATCTAACCCTACTCTTTGTCAGTTTGAAGCCATTCCCCCTTGTCCTGTCACTCCTTGTAAATAGTCCCTGTCCACGTTTCCTGTGGGCTCCCCTCAGGTACTGGAAGGCTGCAGTTCAAACAGTTAAATCTTGCTGTTGTTGCTGTTTCTTCCCAGACATTTCAGCACCTTTCTCTGGCCCTGTTGACCTGTGCACATACCCCAAATACTGCACAGTGATTGCTTATCCCACAGACCTCAACACCATCAGGACCAGGCTGGCCAACAGGTTCTACAGGTCAGTGCTTCCAGGGGAACATGGGAGAAGGTCATATTGGGACTGTTTTCAGACTTACAATGAACACTGACATTTATTCTCTGAGAAATTTGCTCTTTGAAATCACCAGATATTTAAAAAAAAAAAACCCTGAAGTTACTTCAGTCCTAAAGGCAATTCGGGTTTTGAAGTGCTGGACTTCAGTTACTTTGAATTTAAAGAGGTTTAAGCCCTTAAGCTCTTAAATTACTTTAAGAAATGGGCTTAAACACAGAGGTGAAATGTTAAATATTATCACCAGCATTTCAAGTGATAAAGAAGAGAAGGAGGGGAGAGTGTATTGATGATAAAGTTCTGATTTGCTGGATGTGCTGGGTGTCTATAGCTCTAAAATAATGTTAAATATATTTTCCATCTGGACCTGCATTCAACGTGTCTGTAAATAGAGTGAAGAGTCATTAATAGTGGTTTTCCTCCTCTGTAAGATGGAAACAATGTCTTGGGAAATAATTTGAAATTCTGTAGTTGAAGAATTGCCAACTATAAGGAATTAGAGAAATTAGTTATAGAAATGAAATGACATGTTTGTGGGAGCTCATTTCTACCAAGTTATAGTTTTAATTTGTAGCAGTTTCTCACATCTGTCATTTTACAGAGGGCACTGCTTTGCCTGGTGGCCTCAAAGCAAGGTCTGTGAGGGAAGACAGAAAGGAACCTTGTAGCTATCTTTAAAAATTTAATTAGACAAAGCTGCTTTTCACTTTTCTTTTAATTGCTTGTGCCTTGTATTTATTATTAAAAATTCTTCAAATACAACACAACTTGTGTTCCATTTGTCAGGGCTTTGTGGAAGCACCTTCTAATGTTTCCAGAAGAAATGTGATAATTTACAGTGGTTAAATAGTACTTCCCCCTCCCCCCCCCTTTTGGTTCAGGTGAAATGTAAGCTTTTTAAAAAATCTTTTTTAAGATGCCAAGGAATCCACAATCCTCAGGATTATTTCAGTGGTAATTTATGATTTACTGGTAACAAATGCTAGTGCTTATTACGTGACTTTGTATGAATTTATATCCAAAGGATAAATTATCAATAACAGTTTGGAAACCAAATCATTCAATATGTGCACTGCTGGTTTTGCTTCCTTGCATTTTCCATGTGAATGAAAAGTTTGAGACTGATCTAATGAGACACAAAACAAAGGGCATCTAAATGTAACGTGGCCAGAAAATTACTAAGATGCAGCTTTTGCTGGTGTTTTAAGCTTTTCTTTAGTTTTAAAGGTGCAGTGTTTTCTGATTTGAAGGAGAATCTCAGCTTTGGTTTGGGAAGTCAGATACATTGAAAGCAATGCCAGAACCTTCAATGAACCTGGGAGTGCCATTGCCAGAGCTGCAAAAAAGATCACTACCCAGCTCTTAAAGTTCATCAAGTAAGTGGCATTTTAATCTAAATAATGTTGGAACCCTCATGCTCTTCAACAGTGGGAGAGTATAAGCAGCTTAATATCCCCTTGCTGTGAGTCCTGGTTTTGCTTGTTTCTCAGTGCACTGCAAGGACAGGTGTATAATTCTCTCTGAATCTTATTTTAAATACTGAGATGTTCAACTTTGAGGCATTTTAACTTGTTTTCCCTGGTATTTATAGTATTTATAGTACCAAAATATTGCTTCATATTGAGGCTGTTGAGTAGTTCAACCCATAAAGTAAGTTGTAGTAACAGCTGCCCTTGTATGACAAGGAATGATAACGCTCCTCGAGGTGATGTGGTCAAAGAGGCTTTATTTCAAAATTCCCACTCCTTATATCCCTGTTTACCATGTGACTTCTCCAGCCAATAGTTATCTGTGACCTGAGGGTGCTCTCTCGGGCCCACTGCCCTGGCACATCCCCTGTGCCCTCAGACATGCTCCCTACAGTAAGTTTTGTGCTGCCATGGGTAGGAGTTCCAGTTGCAGGAACTCACTTAATAAACCACTTGAGAGGTTTATTTTGAAAGAAATTTCTATATTAATTCTTAGTTACTGTCTCCCCTTTTACAAGTAACTCTTGATTTTGGTTGAGTTTAGGGAACAACAGCCCTGCTTTTGCTCTTCCAGTAACAGAGATTTAATTGCATTGCAGTGATCAGGACTGTACAAACATTTTTGAGCTCTGTAGCACTACAGATGATGAACAAGACTGTCATGATGCTGATCTGGTAAGCTTTTTTATTTGGGTGGATAATTCCAATAATTTATGTAAGAAAAGACCACCAGCCTTCAGATGTTTTTGAACTATTTGCTAATACGAACATGGAATATATTATGAATTTTTTATTATGTTTATTATCAGTGCATTGAATTACTGATAATATTTAGTCCCTGAGGTTCAAAGCTGCTGGGTGTATCTTGTTGCAGCTCCTGGTGGTGGTCTTTCCCTTGTAATAAGGACAAGAGTTGGAGTCAGGAATTTTCACTGGTGGGATCAAAGATATTGCTTTCCAAGTCCCTCAAATGCTGTGCTGTATTTTTTCATGCTCATGTTCTGTCTTGCTGAGAGACTTGAGAATAAAACTCCATTTTTACCACAATATCAATGTAATGACACTTTGAGCACATATCACCTGTTTTTTTCATCCATCATTTTGAAGAGGATTGGTTTTATTTTGTGCAGGACGACGAAAAATGTGTTCCAAGAACATCCTATAGGAGGAGAAAAGTGAGTTGGCTGATCTTTACCAAAATTCTGTGGGAGGGATGTTTGCTTTTACAACAATCACAGAGCAGAATTTTCCTGATGGATTTAAAGGAAGGAAAAGCTTTGCTTAAATAGGTCCTTGCTGTTTTAATGCTTCTATACTCATTCTGTATAGTTGTGTGGGAAAATATTATTTACAAGTTTGATACCAGTGAAGAGTTTTCAGTTATCTGCCTGATGCTGAAATAAAATCATTATTCCCTGAACATGCTTGGAAAAAGTACTTTGAGTGAAGGATATTATTCAAATCTTTTGAAAATAATATGTATTAGGAGGTATGAGGTTTGTGTCTCAGTATTCAAAATTTTTAAATAGAGTAAAAGAAAATAGTATAATTTGCTAGATTTTCTTAATAATTTATAATATAAATTTATAATAAAATTTACAGTTTTACTACTAAATATCAGGAGTGTACTTTTTGTTATAAAACAGTGTTTGGAAGTGCATTTTTCTGCCACAAAAATAATTGCAGAGGGGGATTATCGAGTTGAATTTTTTCTTGCTGTATTTCAGTAATGCTTTTCCTGATTTTTTTTTTCCTAAGGGACGAGGCTTAAAAAAAGGGAAAAGTGTGAAAGGTGGCTATGATGAGAACTGTTGGAAGAAGCAGTGCATGGAGCTGGTGAATTTAATTTTCCAGTGTGAAGATTCAGAACCTTTCAGGCAGCCTGTTGACTTGGATCAATATCCTGTAAGTTGTTCTTGATAACCTTCTCAGAGTCTTTTTTTTTTCCCACTTGCTTTCATAGGGAAATAATTTTAGATAAATTTATATTTTCTTAGTTAAAAGTATTTTATTGAGGGATAATCTACAAAAACCAGTCGATTGAGCCTGAGCTCAAATTGATTTGTTCCTTCTCTTTCTTTTAGTTGTTCGTGGTATTCTCTCTAACTTTTCAGTCCCTTTTTTTTGTCTAAAAACCCAACTAACTTAATTTAAAGGAAAAAAAACTTCTTTACAAGTGTGTAACTGTTTTCCTGTGGTCTTCTCATTTGGAGTTTGAGTCTCACTTCAGGTTTTAAAAACATCTTAAAGTTCTCTAAAACACGTTAACAGGAGAGAAAAGAAGATTGAGGGGGTTTGATTTAGGGGGTTTTTTTGTTGTTTTTTTACCCCAAATCAGTTGTTTCTTATAATAAAATCCACGGGATAATGAAGAGGAGACTTTAAATCAAGTAGTGTCAGCAAAAATGTTACTTTCTGCTGTGGCAGGTGCTTGTTTTTCACTGCTGGTTAAAATAATCTGTGTCATTTTTAGGTGAAAATAATCTGGGTCATTTTAGCTGCCCTCAAATTACAGAAATAAAACTCAAAAGTGTTGTTTTTTTCCTTCACAGAATCCTTTTTTTTTTTTTCCCTGTGTTTTATCCAGGATTACAGAAACATTATAGACACTCCAATGGACTTTGGTACAGTGAAAGAAACTCTGGAAGCTGGGAATTATGACACTCCAATGGAACTGTGCAAGGATATAAGGCTGATATTTAGTAATGCAAAATCTTATACTCCAAACAAAAAATCAAAGGTAGCTGTAAATATTTTGGGGGGGTTGTGAATGTCTTAATGAAACGAGGTATTATTTTGGAATGTTACATGGGGCTGCATGTGCTTTTTCTACTCCTTTTTCTGTAGAGTTTTTAATTTTAGAGCTGTTATTCTTGGATAAAAGGATTTGGTTTTAATATGAGCCCCTTCCTTACCTAGATTTACAGTATGACCTTGAGATTGTCAGCACTGTTTGAAGAGAAAATAAGAAGAATTGTTTCAGATTTCAAAAATGGGCAGAAACAGAACGAAAAGCTCCGAAGGAACCAGAGGTACACCAGGAGATTCAATAATCAGAGCTCAGTGCAGCAGCCCAGCAAAATGCTCAGGTAATCATTATCAAGATGTAGACACTAATATTAGTCTTGACTGTCACATTTAGTCTGTGAAGAGGGGAACAATTGGTTTATTAAATGGTTTGCAAACTCCTTGAGATTTTTTTTATAATTCTGTTGCGAAAAAATAGTGGGTTTCTTGTAGCATAAAACTGTCTGTGAAAAACAGCAAAGGGACAGAAGAGTAGGAAAGGTTGGAGGTTCACTTTTGGGTTTTTTTTGGATATTTGAGTCAGGGAGTCAATATTTAATTTGACTGAAATAACGAGGATTGAAACAGTAAGATTGCATATATTACATATTTTATCATGTCCAGAGTAAAGTCAGTCCTGTGGAATTTATGGAAGTTGTCACTTGCTGTAGCATTCATTTGGCAGCTGGATTTGCCTTTTCTCTTCTGAAGGCAAACAAGCTTTTGGCACAATTGCTGTTAGACATAGTTAACTCATATTCTTGATTTATATGTGGGATGAAGTGGGACAAAATACAAAAACTAAACGTGGTAAATTATTAAAACTGAGCTACTCCCTTTCTGCTGCTGTCCAGTCTTTCTTCTGTGGCAGTGAAAGCGTAGGAATAAGAGTTTTAAGATAAAAAAATAAATCTAATTTCAGGGGATTGCTTTTACATTTTCAGATAAAGAAGCACACACCAAGGTAGGCAGAAATTGTGCTTTGAAACTGCCTGTCTGCTCATACCTGGAGAATTATGTGTGACTGTTTTGGGACTATCTGGGAGAGGGTTTGGATGGCAGAAAAAGCATTAGACACCTTGTGCCCCTGGGTGAATGTCTGGAAACCTTGCAGTGTATGGAACCAAGTGCCAAAATGGTTCTGAGTGTGAAAACAAGTGGCTGAATGTGACTGTGAACACAAGTGGCTGAGCAGGACTGAGGTGGCACTGGAATGTGTAGGAAGGAGGAATCGAATCAGTGAGTTTCTCTTTATTTTAGACAGTGAATTTTCTCTGAGGTTACACCTTCTGTGTGTCTTTGAAACTCAGTTTGTTGTGGAATAATGTTAGTTTTGCCTTGGTGTGAGGCTGGTGGGCAGTGAACCAGAGGCTGAGAATTCAAGAGGAATTTAGGCTGCTGTTTAAATTTCCTGGTGAACAGTAAGAGGACATTAATTGTCTGGAGGACACTCAGCATTACATTGCTCAGAGCAGAGAAAGAATGTCTCCTCCTGTACGACTTCACTAGGAGTGCAGACTTATTTTAATGAAAGTACTTAATGTTCAGCCTTGTCAGAGTTAAAATTGTCCCACTTTAGCTCATTACAAATGTAATTCCCCTTCCATAACCCTAAAATCCTGTGGTGTTCCATTAGCGACACGTTGTTAAAATACATAATTACCATTCTCTGTGACAGTTTTACAACCTGCATGGCTTTTCTTTCTTTCCTTCTTTCCCCCTTTCCCTAGAAATTCGAAGCAGAAACCATTGAAGTCTCAGGCAAAAGTTGAATCTGAGCAAGAAGATTCTTTCCCCCAACCTACCTCAAGCAGAGCCGCCTGTGTCACAAACCATAAACCGAACGCTGGGAGATACAACCAGAGTTCCTCCGGAGAATCCTCGGATTGTGTGGGCCTGGCAGCCTTTGAGAGGAATGGCAAAGCCAGAGCCACAACACTGACCAACTGTTCTGCGTTATCATCAGGTCAGGAACTTTGTAAATTTATAATATTTTAAACTTGTTTTAGTGAGAACCCCCCCCTGCGGAGCTGCTTCCAGCTCTGGGAGCCCCAGCACAGGAAGGACGTGGAGCTGCTGGAGAGAGTGCAGAGGAGGCCCCAAGAGGATCCCAGGGCTGGAGCAGCTCTGCTGGGAGGAAAGGCTGGGAGAGCTGGGATTGTTCAACCTGGAGAAGAGAAGCTTTGGGGTGACCTGATTGTGGCCTTGCAGGACCTGAAGGAGCTCCAGGAAAGATGGAGAGAGACTATTTCCAAGGGCTGGAGTGACAGGACAAGGGGGAATGGCTTCCAACTGACAGAGAGTAGGGTTAGATGGGATATTGGGAAGGAATTCTTGGCTGTGAGGGTGGGGAGGCCCTGGCCCAGGTTGCCCAGAGAAGCTGTGGCTGCCCCTGGATCCCTGGAAGTGTCCAAGGCCAGGTTGGATGGGGCTTGGAGCAACTCGGTCTAGTGGAAGGTGTCCCTGCCCATGGCAGGATTTGGAACTGGATGATCTTTAAGGTCCCTTCCAACCCAGACTGTTCTGTGGTTCTATGAACTGCCATAATTTGCATTCTGAATTGTTAAATGCAGTTTATATTTTTAACATGAAATCCTTTAGACAGGATTTCTGTATGCTTTAGTTTCTTTGTGTAATACAGAATTTTGTGTATTTTACTGAATTTTGGACACCTACTACATTATTTACTATGAATGTTATAAAAAAAATTGTGTACTAAACATAGGATTTTGCTTTAAAATCATGTAGAATACAGTCACTTAATATTTATTAATCAAGAAACCTATCAATAGGAAAGCATAGTATATTTGATAGATGGTACTATATAAGATAGAGGTTATATGCTCATATATATATATATATATATATAACATGAAAATTGGCATCCAAAATTAGAAAATTCCTGAAGTTCCCCAAGACATAAAAACCTTTTTGTCTTTCCCTTCTTCCCCTATGCTTCACCTTGATAAAAATTCAGCTTATTTCAAAGGATGCAAGTCCTGGTGAAACCTGTCAGAACATGTTTTGTGGTGGTGTTTTTTTTAACAAGCTTTTCTTTTAAATCTGTTGCTTGTTGTATTTTAATTGCAACTTAAACACAGGTTGAAGAAGCTTCCTGGCACTGCAGGAATATGGAGTGGGATATTTTGCAGAGCTCCCAATCTCATCCCTGTAAGACATTTCAGGCAGGATTGTGAATTTCAAGACAAAACCGCGAGGAAATATTGAAGATATCCTGAATCAGCAAAATGTAGCTCCTACACTGGAAGCCCTTTGGAATTCTAATTGCCAACTACTGTTTGGTTTGTTTTTTTTTTTTAACAGAAAGTGAAGGTTCAGTGGTCTCTTTATCTACTTCCTCTTCATCTTCATCCTCCACAAGCAGCTCAGAAGACAGCAAAGAATGTTCTGGGGCTGTCGTGTCCCCTCCTCTGCACAACGGGGTGTGCAGGAGGAAGGGCAGCGGTCGCAGGATAACCCGGAATCGAGCTGCTCAGAGAAAACAGACAGGTGAGGGCTGAGGGCTTTAGTGTCAAATCAAATACCACGAGTGTCTGTAAGTACATATATGTGTTATATATAAAAATAAGTGTAGTTAGTGTGTTTTTTTCAAATCGTTGTACAGGTAAGATGCTAATTTATTTACTGATGGCGGTTTCGAAGCTCTCAAATACTCCACTCAACTTTTAAAGTGTTGGGGTTTTTTTCAGTGCTTAGGGGAGAAGGGCAGAAACCAGGAGGGAATATCTTGAAACATTTTATATCTTAATGAAAAAGCAACAGTTTGTGAAGAAGTTCTAATTTTCACAAAAATAGAGTGAATCTGAAATTTGTGACAACAGAAACAGCTGACTGTTACCAGGAGTGTATTTTATTTATCATGTCTGTGGCTTGTGCCTGTCCTAGATTTGACAAGACTTCAGAAACTGCTGGTTTTATATTTAAGATTTTAATCTCTGCTTTCCTTTACAGGAACAGTTCTTCAGGAGAACGGGAACACAAGGAAAACTGTCAGGAAAAAGTTGTACGTAAGTAACTCTGAAAACACTTCCGTGGTGACATCTGACTCCCTCAGCAACAGCACTGGCAGACACAGGAAAACCCCACGGAGAAGTGCTGCTGTGGCTGCCAATAAATTAAGGCTGATGAGTGACGTGGAGGAAGAGGTTTCCAGCTCTGAAAGCATCGGAATTGGCTGCAGGAACAGGAAGCTGCCTCACCGGAACGCCTCGGCCGCCGCCCGGAGGATGCTGCTGGAGAGATCCGAGGATGACACAGGCTTGAAGTCAGAGAGTGAGAAAGAATTAGAAGAGCAGCTCACCAAGAGGAAAGCTCTTTCTCAGCCTGGTTCATCTGCTCCACGGAGGAAATTCGTGAGTGAATCCGAAAATGGGACTTCAGATTCCGAGCCGGACACGCAGACGTGCCAGAAAACCTGGCAAAGCAACGGCCACAAACAGTTCCGGGGCCCAGCCCGTCCTCTGTCTCCCAAAGGGAAAAGTCCCAGCCCAGACTCTTCAGAGGAGGACTCCAAAAGCCATAATTCCGAGGATGGGAGCAGTCAGAAAGGTTGTGACCAATCAACATCTGCACACAATAAACCTGCAGGGAGCAACTCCGAGGACGAGGCGGATTCCGAGTTGGATCGCTGGGAGGGCAGGAAAGCAGCTGGCAAGCAGCTCAATGCTTCTGGAAAAAAAGCAAAAGTCCTGAGTGATTTAGAGGACACAGCAGAATCTGAGACAGAAACCAGGGAGGAGTGGAAAAGTTTCCCCTCGGAGAACTTGGTGCCAACCAGGATTGCAGGGAGTTCCAAATCCGGGCCCTGTTCCAGCTTCCATCACTCCTCTGACACGGACTCTGAGGCTGATTCCAACAACAGCAATTACTGTGAAACTCTTTTGAAAGCAAGAAAGAGGAAGAGAAAAGGAAGACCAAAAATCATTAGAAAAGGTAAAATTTTAAAAGTTAATGCCTCTAACTCCTGATACTGAGGGATGAGAGAGAAAAATCTCTCTCTGTGACCTGCTCCTTGTTTGGAGAATTTCAGTAACCAGAACCTTCTGGTTTTGTAGTTTTCTTGTTTTCAGTTTGTGGGTAAAGATTATCTGAATTTCCTGTTAAAATTTTCTGTGCTGGCACTGATTTACAACAGTCATTTTCACTTTGAGTAACTTTAGTGATAGCTTTTCCAAACAGATTTGATTGAAAGGTGTTTTAATTATTCTCACATCCGTGGTGGGCACCAGAACCTGTCACTTGATTTGACTTCTGGATTTCAATCTGTCAGAGTCCTTAACACAGAGAGGCACTTTGCAAAGCAAGATTTATCATTTCACTTGTTTCAAAAAGCTAAATTCTTTGATTTTGGGGGGGTTTTTTTCCTCTAATTTTAATTTTGTCTGTCACTCAAATACTTGTGTGTGCTGTGATTTGGAGAGTTGGGGTTTGAGGGGCTTTTTTAAGATTATCACAACGATGCTGAAGTTTATTAAAACAGGTCCTGTACATTATGTGTCTCTGTTATTAGGGAATTAGTCCTGATTTGGAATTTGAAAGACTCTTCTGAGCTTGATGTTCAGGTCTCATCCTTCCAAACCTCTCACTGTGCCTTAAAAATCTTGATGAGAAAATCATTATCTCTGAAGATGAATCTAAAAATCTAAGCTGAATCTCTTCAGATGAATTTCCACAAGGAATGCTTATTTGTTTTTTACTATGATCTTAGTTTTTATATGTGCTAACCATACTGAAAATGTTTCTTGCTTTTTTATCATTAGCAATGGGAAAGGATCCAGCTGGAAAATAGGGAGGAGAAGAAAATTGGGGGGAGGGAAGTTTTTTAACAGCCTTACAAAATTGAAAAATCTTACTTGAATGTGCTTCCTATGTCAGATCTTCTCAGTCAAATATAAAACTGCTTTGGAGTTTTTTGGAGTCCTGTTCCATTACTTTGAGACTTAATACAGCAAAGAGGGAAGATATTTGTACATATCCTTGATTTAGTGAGAATTTATAGCTCTTGGTAACATTTCCATTCTCAAGCTTCTCTAGCACCTCATTTCAGGTACTGCTGGAGCATATCATGCTTTTATTTAAATACATATATAGGCATATTTGTGTTTATATAGTATCTGTTTTCAAATAAATGTGTATATTTTATACACATGTGAATGTATATATGTGTATATATATGTGTATATATGTATATATATGTGATTATATATGTAT